GTAATAATGCAAATTGAAAATGAAAAATTTTAATTGGCAGATTAATAATTAACTGGGAAACGAATGAGAGCCACTGGCATAACTATTCCCAATGTTTTAGAGGTACAGTCTGTGTAAAAAATATGGCTTTTATTTATTTTCTTATCTTCAGTAACTCCGATCGTTACGTCGTTGGGTACAGACATGTTTTCGGTTATTTCTATGTGTTGGTGAGCGGAGGTGTATTTATAGAGTTAATCTGGTTTGGCGGCAGCTGCACTCTCTGCACCCTCCGCCATTGATAGCCTAAATGCTTCAATAATTTCTATTTACCTGATTTATTATTTTTTCTCTCATTTCACCCGAACGACTCATCCATCGATTAAAATTCTATCAATTAAATCACTCCCAGTATTTTACCCCCTGAAATCATTGACAATTATCTTCACCGAGAAATAAACGATAACGATAACTATAATTATTACCTTTTTGTTCGACTTATTCGCTATTTTTTTTTTCTTTCAGTCAAGAACTAACCGTATCAAGTGTATACTCATTTTCTGATGAATCATTCGATGGAACGTGCGCAAGCACAATGGCGTATCCATTAAAAAAAACCCCAGAATACCAACTAAATGATTAAAAAAAAAATAACAAGCTATCCCAAAGATAAAGCGCAAAATATTAATAACACCACGCCCATCGACGAGATAAACAATGAAAGCGTAAAAATCCATCTTCATCCCAAATTTTCACCATAAATACCAACCGCGTTTACATAATGACGATTTATCGATTTATGTTTATTCCCCGAACATTACGACTCATCAAAATCGCTCGAGCATTGAATCCATTCAATTAAAAAAATTAGCATCGAGGTAAATTCGATGATATTCAAATAATCTCCATTGGAATAAAAGCCAGGCATAATTCTGCGATTTCCAAATAGAAATTTGTACAGCTCTAATGTCATTAAAATTCATAGGCAAAAATTCCGAGGTTGAACATTGGAAATAAGAAGGAGAGAGAGAGAGAGGGGAAAAAAAAAAGAATAAACTCCAAGTGGACGGAATTATATATGGGGCAATGGCCCTTCTACCGCTTCAACTCTGTCGTTCGTAATCGCGCATATATACACTTTCTGTTTCACTTTATTTTCACCCATCTCTTTTGATCTCACGTTGAGACGATCCAAACATTTTTCTCTTTCCCTTTACCATCGATACATTTGCCCTCTTTCTCTAACTAATGGCCATCTTTATCCCCCAATGTTGGTGTTGTGCTTACCGACGAAATAACTCGTCATCTCTGTCGCACTAGTGCTATACCACTGAAATCATACCCGGTGTGTAAACCCCCTCTTGCTCCTCTACACCCCTGCCCACCCCACCTCCTCATCATCATCCTCCTCCTCCCTCTACCACCCCCCTGAGAATCTGGAGAACAACCTCACTCGGCCTTCCACCACCATTCCACACCATTTCCCCCCTCATCCTCTGAGGTTGCCGTTGGCTTTCACCCCTCTTCCTCCCCCACACTACTTGTCCCTTGGGCTATTATCACAGAGCTCCAACTAACCACCTCAAGGCTACTTCACAACGACCATGTCCATTGTAATATTTACCCCAGGAAGTACAAAAAATCATCCGCCTAACTGAATTATTCGAAATATTTTACCATTTTCCGGAAAAATCAAGGAGAAATGACGAATCTAGTGTTTTGCTAAAATTTTTATTTTTTATTTTTCAGGAATGCGGCGTTTTTTTTATTCTTGATAAGAGTGCGATGTAGTCGGGTAATATCTATCTTTGCGGTTTAATGGAAATGATCATTAATGCGATATAAAGGAAATCAGTTTTTCATTTAGCCTGATATTTAATTTTCCATCTATAATCCATTTATTTTAATTTTATTGTCAATTTGTGGAATATTCAGTTGAAAATTACGGAATTTCTCTGGTAATATTTACCCCAGCATTAAAAAATCATCAGCGTAAATACATTATGGGAAAATGTTCCCTCCATTTTCCGGAAAACCGAGCTTTTATTTCAATTAACGTGCACATTAATATTCCGAAAATCCTTTACATATTTACGGGATTGTGGAATTGAACTCGTGGGTTTTCCGGAGTTTTCTCGGATTTTCCGTACTTCAAACACAGGAAAATTATCGGGAAAAATTATAGCACGTCATTAAAATTTTCCTCAGCAATTAACCCTAGTAGACAAGTACTAAATAATTTAATCAGAAAATTTTGAAACAGCTTGATTAAACAGGACTATAAATTTTCCAATAATTTCCAATAATTGAAGAAACTCGTCAGCGAGGAAAATTGCAGGTGCATTTCTTGAGTGGAAAAAATTGACAATTTTCTTTATATCTATAGCATGTAAAGAAAACCTGCAAGACGTTAATGTAATCTATCTAATACACGCTAGCCACGCCAGCAAATTGCTAGATTAATTGGTGGATTTTTCTGTTTAGTTGTTGAAACGAATGCGATGAAAGTTAATGAATAAATATCTAAAAATGTACTATCCACAAGCCCGAAGCTGATTTCACATTCAATAACTCTTGCTATCTTCGTATTTGATCTAAGATGATATCTCAAGAATCAACAAGACTCCCGGAGGGAAATAGACGATGATAATGAGAATTAATTGGCTATTACATTCAATTAATTCATTAATTTTTTTTTAGTAATTAATTAATGGAAAATTGGGAGATAATTATTAATGGACCTTTATGCATGCAATACAGACAATTACGAATTCCAACGAGTTTTCTCACTTGAATATTTCTGCACTCGAATAAAATTCAATAATTAAATGTACAAAATTGTAAAATATTGGAGACAAATAAAAGCTTCAACCGATTTAATCTCCGGGCATACCCATAATCAATGAATTTGTGGTAATTAATTTATAACCATATCTGTAATGATAGGTAAAAACGATAATTACTCGGAGAATTTAGAGATTTACATTTAATATTAAATCAGTAATGGAAAGCTAAAAATAGGAAAAAATCAATGTGATTCATTTCAATTGCAACGACTTGATGAAGTATAGTGAAATGGTTATTTTAATGAATTAATTACGCAATTGTTGGGGATAAAAAGTATAATTGAAAATGATATAAATATTTAATCCAAGACAAAGAAACTCTCGGCTGTTTCGTTTGGCTCTGATACGAAATTTATTTCTAGAAATTTGGTATTCGTGAGTCACGAACCGTGAGATACATTTCGTCGATTCTCAGCAACTTCTGAATCTACAATAAAAACAGGGCGATGAAAGAATTTAGTTTTTTTTAAATTGTTGCTCTCTATTCTCTCAAGTTATTCAAATGCATGTCAGAGATGATATATTTTTCAAAAGAATTGCATGCCGTCTTTCCCACTTCGTGTATGGATAATCGATGAAGAACCGTCAAAAAAAAGTTGAATAAAAAATACTGAAATAGCGAAGAGAAGAGTATCTCCAGTGGCTAACGATTAAAAAATCGACTTATCAGTACTCCCGTGAAATAGCTGCGATATTAACCGATTTTCGCCTCTAAGAGTGATTATAACACCATTCTTCTTACTCAAGAAAGATCGAACAATGTTTTTCTATTGAACCCATTCAATTTTTCGATCTTTTCCCTCTCCCAATGCAAGAATAATGAACCATGGAAATTCCACGTCAGGCAACCAGGACGAACAAGAGGGAGATATAATCTCAACTATTCGACGAAATCTCAATCCGTATTTCAATATTTTTTTTTACTACCAAGTAGAATATGAACCGATTTTTCCTGTTGAAAATGCAAATAACTATTCCATAATGACGCGAAATTTTCCAAGAAATTTGACAAATGGTAATTATTTTTCCATGAGAGCACCAAAAATTCAAAAATCTTTTTAACCGCTTTATAATATTCTTTTATATTAACATTAATTCTTCAAAAATACCCATACAATATATACCATAGTATATACTATATATCATAAATATATTTATATTATTTAATTTTGAATAATTGAAATAATATAAAATAATTGAATGCATTTTCCATTTGTCCAATTCCCAGTGGTAATTACATCGAGTCTTGCTATCGGCGTTTCCACTGCTATCAATGTTCTTCTCCTTCTCCCCCACTCCAAAACCCCTCCCTCCCCTCATGCGCCTCCCACCACTACATACAATCTTTCCCCCACCGTTTTGCTTCAGCTACCACCCCCCCTGCCCCTCCAACTCAACCCACTCTACCCCCCTCTCCCCCTTCTCCACGACAGCTTAGAAATTGCTTTGAACGATTGTAGTCATCTTGTATTCTCCCAGAAAGAGGAAACATAAAAATCCATTAGTAGCATTAAATATGATTCCCCGAGTAAAGGATAAATAATACGTACATAAACCAAAGATAAAGAGAATATTTCTCATTGATATATGAATCGTCGAGAAAATATGTAAAGAATGATGAATTCTAGAATGAAAGTAAGAATTTCGAATTTCACACTTGATTCGTTTAAAAATATTTATTGAACTCAAAACCTATTTTTAGCTCTCGATGGAAAGTATGAGAAGTAAAAAGTACTTTAAATTGATTATCTGAGAGATAAATTGATAATTAATTGATGAAAAATTGGGAATTAAATTTCTGTTAGTTTATCACTGGGTTGTTATTCTCAGTGAATGTGGGATTGTGTTGGGTAACTCAGGCTTATCGGTTATTTATTTAACAATTAATTTTTTTTTCGTTATGGATACGTGAAACTCGCCTTGGCATGTCCTTGGTAATTTCTCCGACTGGAGGTTGAGAAAAACGAAACTAACACAAATTTACGACAAATATTTCGGAGTATTTCATGCTCCCAGTGTTTCTCATTCGTTGATGAATTAACAAAATCGGATTTTGCCATTCTTTTGCCATTCTTTAGTCATTTAAATGCCCCATATCAGCTTGACAATCGCATTACAAACTCGTAATTGCCTCCTGCATTCTCAATTATTATTTTATTCCCTCGCGCATTATTTTTCCTCTCAATATTTTTCCTCCACAACCGACATATTCGATTAATGACGTGTCAAAGATTAGAATTAATCACTAAACTTTTTATTCGCTGCTCACGTCGCTCTCTTTCTCTCGAGCACTCGATTAATTTTCCCAACCCCAAATTGAAAAAAATGAAAAAATAATTCTAAACCGGAAATCAATAAACCAGTGCCAGATATTTTCGTCCTCAACTTTAATTGAATTCTACAATTCAAATGCAATATGTATTTAATCATAAAACTCGTCTCATTCCCATGTGAGATACCTTCTACCCGACATTACGCAATTGTAATCGTCCGTACATGCAAGTACAACGCAAAAATGCTTATCCGATAAAATAAACGCTACTTCATTGAAAATAAATTCCGTCAGAATGAAAAACCTCGTGTAATTGTATTGGAAAAGAAAATTTTGGAAATTTTTCTCTCTCTCACCTTCTCTTCTCTGAAATATTTATGGGGCCACTATGGCTCTGAAGATAATAACGGCTTTTATGGTATAACTCCAGGGATTTTTCGAGGGAAAAAGAGCGACCGAGAGAGAGAAAGAGAGAGAGAAAAAAAGAGAGAGAATTGGAGAACCTGAGGGAGCCACAGAAAGAAGGGGAGAAAATGAGAAACCGAATGGAAAACATGTGAGAAATTTGTAGAAACCCCATGATGAATTCTAGAATCGGTAATTACAAAGCCTCACAATCCAATTTCATCCCTCGACCATACGAATCCCCAATTTTAAATGAATAATAATAGCGATCACGATTGAAATTGGTGAAACACACGAGCATACACAAGAGCACTTTATTATCAATTGAGATAAAATTGTTGATTTATTATTATCATGACCTCGTATACGATAAAATACATAGATGTGCTGAATTTATGATTTTCCGGATATGAGTGAAAAAGCCCTAATGAATTAAACCGTGCATTAATCATCTCCACTCTGGAAAAAACCTAAAACTATTAAAATAAAAGTCATTATAAAAACAATCATTAATTCTTTAATTTGTAGTGATTGGATTTCATAACTTTCCTATCCGAGTGAATCGCGGTCAACGATACTTTCCAGAGTGACTGTACTGACCTGACTAATTTTGCCGATTAGAATTTTTAGCATAAATTTGTCGATTGACTGTATCGAAATTCGTATATTTCGGGATATATCAACAGCCTACAACACCGATTATCCCATCGGTGAAAAATAATTTATTTATTGATAAAAATTAATTTATTATTATTTCAACTCCAAGTGCTATTTATTACGGACTAGTGTGCATGATTTTTTAAATAAATATTTCGTATTCGTTTTAATGCGCGTATAGTGTTCAACCGGGCAGATGCAGAGGATAAATAATTTGGATGATTGAAAAAATAAAAAAACATGAGTGCGGAATAATGTGAGATTGTGTATAATGATGCACGTGTCTCTGTCCCTCTGTTGGTGTTGGAATCAAGTTGAAACTCGTTCGCGCTCTCACAAACACAAATCCTCCGAGACACATACCCACACACACACAGATATTGTACCAACGAGTTGCATTACGAATGCAGTTGAAATAGTTTTCCACAGTGATTACCAGTTGAATTAAATTGGCGTAAAAACAAGGAAGCCAAAAAAAAAAAAAAGAAACAAAAACTGAAAATCTTGAGGTACAATAAATGCATCGAAAATACAGGTATTTGCCCAGGTGAGAGGAAAACTAAATGCATTCCTGAAATCGATTCACCAGTGATTTTTTTTTTTTCCACAACTGTAGTTGGAATTACAATTCGGACTGACGACTCATTATATCCACTCGCATACATTATACCCAGCGAATCGAGATAAGACTTGGAGAGGAGAGAAATAAAAAGAACATGGAGGACGGGAAAAAGGGGATCTTTTTAATCGTTACATCGAAAATAAAGGTGGAGAGAGAGAGAGAAAAAAATCAACCGAAATAACAGGCGATATTCTGAACAGAGACACGAGAGTTGCGCGAATTTCGAGAGCCATTGTCTCGGATTCCACGTAATAGACCGTTCTGTATTGAAATCCGTGAAAATACTTTGTTTAATTTTTAATCTCTCACTTCATCCAATCATCCACTCAATTAATCTCAAGCGGAATGAAGAATTTTAACGATGCAAAAATCAACAAAATGTTGATTAATTTAACCAAACAAATTAATTCATCACTCGGCACGTACATTTGCGATTTCAGGGAGTGAAATATTGACGAATTCAAAAAAAAAAATAAAAATAACACCCTAACTTAATGAAATTCATGAATGCATGTGATGCATGTGCATGTAATTTTCATAAGTTTATCATTAAAAAAATAATACAAAAGCCAATGTGGCATTAAATCAGATTGAGGCACATCTATAAATATCTCAATAATGGGGGAAAATGGATGAAAATGAGACGGAAAATGGTCGAGGATTGGAGCTGAAGCGAGAGAGAGATTGGGTAAGAAAAAGGAGAAAAAGAATTTTAAAGAATAATATCGTGGAAACGAAGATGGCACTGCGGGAGAGCGAGGCCAGAATAGAAGGGCATACGAAAAATAGTGCGAGTGCAAGAGAGACAGAGTGACAAGACCGTCTAATCGTATACCCCCACCCCGACCCAAGATATTGCCAGATGTCTAACCAAACGCAATTACCCCCTTTTTTCCTCATTTTTCAATCAAAGCATGTGCCCCACGGCAATTTAATTGGCCCACAAATTCCCCCCACCCCCATCATCAATCACCAAATTAATTAAAAAATTGTCAACAATTACTCACCTCTATTTTATCCATTTTCTATGCTCCCTAATATCACACACTATCTTCACGTTCATCTAGAATTACTTAGTAAAATCTATCCCAATCTGTCGAATTGCACTATTTTCACTCCTACGGTGGGTATTTTTTTTTTAAATTTCAATTGATTTAATTATTATTTTTTTGTTTTTTAATCAACAAATTAACATGCCCATCGAAAATACCACGTAAGCCACTTGCAATGCATCGCACAGTTAAAGCACACTGTTACTCCGAGCTTCGATAATCCCATTTAATTATTTAATCCGATCTAATTAACACTGTTCAATAGATTTTTTTTTTTCTTTTGACACATGCACACAAAATCAACGGCTCCACGGTGCGGCGCACGCCACTGTCCCATCGAGACTACTTTGTATTTACTCTAATTATGTGACGTCACGGATACACTGGCTCGGTGTATCCCCCACTATTTCGGCATTTCGTTTTCACGGAAGGCGACGGAAATGAACGGAAATTACCGAATAACAGTATGGTCGGTGTTGTGACCAATGCGCATGCCGTCAACCAGTCGTCTAGACACTTTTACACAGCCAACATCTACTGCCATCCGAGTCCTCACATTTTTTTTTTCCCATTAGCCATTTTTTTTTCTCTACATTCCCACCAATAAAATCCTTTCTATTAAAAATTTCATTTTCCCTGAGGTCATTCTCACAATTGCCATTGCGATGAATATTGCGTATGCATAAATGGCAGAAATGTTTAACGTCACTGGAAAAATTACTGTAATGTCTGTAATTTTATAAGAGCCATTACTTTTATGTTTCATTATGAATCCATTGAATTTCGATGGTATTCGGGATTTTATTGCCAAATACGATTTTTTAAAAAGTTTTTTTATTCGTCGACCAATTACCATTGCTCGCCTAATTACTTGTCCACTCCCTCCCTCTCCCTTTCCCACCACCCTTGACACCCGTAATTACTGGAAAATTGGCGTCGTTCTTCTGGAAGATGGAAATGCAGTTTTTTGGGCTCAGGTCGGCGAGAGGATATATCCAACGCTCACGGAGAAGTAACGAACTCGATGATAAAATTAATGTCAAGATAAATACAAGACTTGTCAACAGTCGGTTCATATGCCTGTATTTTCCAACTGGCTTACCCCGTGACGATAACCCGACAGCTTGTGGAAAATGAAAAATCATTTCCTTTAAAATCTCCAAGACGAGCAATTACTGGAAAATTACTCCGGGAAAGGCAATAAGAATATCAGAATCATAAAAATTGTTATATTTTTTTTTACTATTCCAAAACGTGAAATTTCATTGTCCGAAAGAGATCACTCTAATATTATCTCACCTCACACTCTTCCTCAACTTTACAAATACTCATTTCACCGTTTATTACACATAAGACATTTCACCTGTACATGTAATCTTTATTCATCCATTGTAATACTTTGTTGTCATTTCCCATTTTAGTAAATTGTAGTGTTTTTTTTTTGTTGTTATTGATAGTATTGACAGGCGGATAAACACTGCTGTCATTGACAAGCGAAATGTGCAAGAGGGAGAAAGAGAGAGAGAGAGAAAGAGAGAGCAATGAAAAGGGCATTAGTTTATTCGCACGGGTTTGTTCGATTGGAAAGTGTAATTCGTTCCATGCCAAATGATTGGTCAGCGAGAGATCATTTTGCTCGATATAAACCGATTCACAATAATCTTGAATCAGAAGAGAATTCAAATAATTCAATAACTTTATCGCATATCTGGTCAGTGTTAGGCCCCTAGAGTGCGAGATAAATTTATCTCCTTAAACATAACGCTAGCAAGCCGTTCACTACGATAATTTGGCGAATGATTTATTTTTCTGGAAGCTGAATTCGTTGTTGTTAGCTTTTAAACAAATTTATTAATTTTTATTTTCCTCTATTGTGCAATAATTCAACCAAAACTCTCATTTACTCCTACTTTCCCGCAATTTATCACGTCGTAGTCATCATTGAGACTCTGAGAAACAATTAGACTCAAATAAGAGCTTTAAGCAATGAAATATAATTGAGCAAACGGAGAAAGTGTGGTCATTGTGAAAAAAAAAAAAACTCCCTTTTCTCTTTCTGATGGCACCTTTATACTGCATTTACTATAATAGGAATATAAATTTGAGGCATTGGCGTGGTTCATCAGCCGGATAAGAACGTCAACTAGATATTTTCTGTCACTTCCCCATTATTTTCAAATGTCTCACTTTATCCAGAGGATAAAATCTAATTGACGCGATAATCCCTGGGAGATTTACATCTTAATTATCATAATTCCCTCAGAGTGTCTCAATTGACAAAATAATTGATAGAAAATTATAAAATACTGGAAAGCATTTAAAGTAACTGTAAAACTATGAGAAACTTGTGGATTTCCATTCTCCTCCTGTCGCGTGTAATTAAAATACATATTGATACTCTCAGAGCATAATACAATGTATTGGATAAAGTATCACAGCTTGCCCTCATTCCCGAGTTCATACGAGTCACAGAAATTTACTAAATAAGTAATCCACAAAATAATAACACAGTAATTAAACCAATTGAGTTAAACAAATTGATAATACGAGTTTTTTTGTATCATTCTGTCATATACACTGTCAGTATTGCCAAAAAAATACTTACTCCTGCCAAATGGAAGAGCGGGAAAAAAATCCCTGTCTTCCTATTGGACCATACGTATCATCTCTCAGTGAATAAAAATGATTTATTTTTTATATCTTCGAATAATTTGAATAGTATGAAGATTCCTTCGTCTCTTATATTTCTCATCTCTCACATTAGCTCAGGAAATCAATCATAATACATATTTTTACATTTCCAGGAATAAATCCAGGTGACTCCAACTTAAGCCCCATCTCATACTCATCTTCATTATTCTTATTATCATTCTATCTGTATACAATTGATTTGATTATCACCTATTAAACGTAGAAAAAATTATACAAGTAACCTATCTATCTGAGGTGACTAATTGTTTGTTTATTTACCTCTGAGGCTCGAGCTTGATCCACCTGTGTCTCCTTTCCACAATACTTCAACGCCCTTAAATGTTAATCACTGCAAGGACACTGTCACATTTATCGGAAATGTTTCTCAACTTCTTTGTCAATCAATCGAGAACTGCATCAATAATGGTTTCCTGTCGTTCTGATTATTCAGGGCTTTCTTTTCTCATTATTTTCATCACTATTTTTACCTTCATAAGTTTCGCTCAAGGTCCCAGGAGTGTTTTTTTTTTTAAATTCTTATTTCCTTTAATTTTCATACTCTTACGACACGTTTACGTTCCTACATACTTTATACAGAGAAATAATAATCACAGATTGCTTTCACCGATCAATGACTCGATTTGTCTCGTCAGTGTACTATCAAGGAAAGGCTCGGTTTTATTTTTATTTTTTCAATATTTTCATCAACTCCATGAAGTTTAGGTTTGTTTACTCAATTTCTCGGTGCAATCGAGAAGAAATTTAATGATTAAGGTTTTATTGTGTATTTATAAATTTGGAATTTAATCGGCTCTTTATTTCAGAGGTCAATGGAATGATAAATTTGTCAGTTAGTATTCCGTGAAATCGTTTGGAAAATTATAATGCGATTGTCTTTGAACTGTTAAATCAGTGGAAATAATCTCGATTGCTTTAATGAACAGAGGAATTGATGGTCTGAGTACGCAGCTTTCTACTAGTTTCCCTTGGTCCTGAGCCTGCTAGGCGGTCCCTATATCGCGTTTATTTTCTTCTGAAAAATATGATATGAGGTATTCGTACAGAGAAGCCGGATATCTCCGCACGTGAATTTACAGACTGGGACCTCGAGCGAATCCCCACATTTTATCGCTGAATTGTATCTGCCTTTTGAAAATTTTCGTTAAAATATTTTTGCCTTTCTTTCAGATGTAATAATTTTTGTGCTTTTAGGGTATTCGTTAAATAGAGAAATTGAGATTTTGCAACTTGGAATGGTTTAAGCTGCCATTAGGAAGCTAAATTATTATTAATTCATTATGGAATGATTTCAAAGCGTCTGTCATCTGCTTTTCTTTTCAATTTTCCCATTTAATTGTCCCACCAAAAACACACATTAGTTTCTTTCAAATTTCAATACCCGAGGAGCACTCGATCGGACATTTTGGAAGATATTCGATGGTAATTTTGCCACATAATTGTTTAAAATAATTCAGAATTAATGAAAGAGGCAAAAGCATTTGCGGCATTCGATGAAAAAAAAAATGAAACATAAAGGATCAATCGAGCGCACCTCGAGTATTGAAATATTTCTCTAGCTAAAAAAAAGTTCTCTTTATTTTAAACTCTATTCATCCCCATTGTCATCAGGGCAATCACCCGCATCGGTGCTGACCACATCCTGCATGGTACCATTATTTTCACACCGATCATCATCTACCGAGTCTATTCTGTCCTCAGGCTGTTCCTCGATTGGCTGAAGACACTCAGCATTCCTCGTGAAACCGTTCTCTTCAATTTCATCCTCGTCATCCTCCTTTGGCGAATCCGTTGGATCGCGAATAGTATCATCCCCCTCATTATCCTCATTATCTGCCATAACAGTTGTGTCCTCATCGCCCTGCAATACGTCAATAACTCGTTGTTCCATTTGAAATTTTCTGACAATATCGGACAAATCAGTGCTCTGCAGTGAGGCATCTTCGTCTAAAATTTTTTGACAATTGTAAGGAGTAAACGTTGCTCGGACTGTTTGATAAAGTTTTCTAAAGCCAAGTTTTTTGTAAAGACTCTGGCTGGCCTCATTTTCTGGACGTATCACGACGAAGGGAGTGTAGCCCCTGTCTGCTACTGTTTTTGTCAGGTACCTAAACAGAAAATATCCAATTTACTATTTTTTGTTAAATTTTCTTGAAAATTCAGAAATTTTTCGACGAATGGAAATGAAAGGTCTACGAAGAGTCTTGAAGGATGAGAATAACAGACAAAAATTGATATTCACGACTAGAGAGCCAATTACCTAGCAAGTCTCGTGCCATATCCTTTTCTCCTATACTCCGGCTTAGTCTGCATGGAGAACATGGCCCCATAGTACGATTGTATCATCCAAGCAGCCAATTTTCCATCAACGAAAACTCCAGCTGCTGGTAATATTCGTATCAAACGAAGAAACAGCTCATGGCACTCCATATCATTAGCTGGATAAAGCTCGTGTATGCCCTCGGCGTGCTCAGGGCACAGAGGCAGAACCTGGACCTCTGGTTCACCCTCAATGGGCTCGTCCTCAATTTGTATGGTATTCGCTGGATCCTCGCAGGCCCACACATCACCCAGGACACGTTCAATCGTTCCAGTTCCGTCGTAAAGATCGAACAACTCCCCAGCAATCTCGTGGTGGACGAAATTAATGTACATTGGTTTCTCCCAGTCGATCAAAATGTCCTCATCGCGCAGCAGGTGAAGATTATCGAGGCTCTTATTGGGACAGAATACACCGAAGCTCTCGTACAGGAGACCGTGTGGCTGAACATGCCAATGGATAATTTATTACACTGAAAAATCTATTCTTTCAAACTCTTCAAGGATATTCAAATATTGCATTTCTTGTTGAAACTCTGCATTTGTTGTTGAAAAATTTGTCAGGGAAAAATTGATAAAATCCTAGTATTTAATTTTTCACGTTTTAAATTATAATCCTGAGTTCCAGCTGTTGGAAAATGCGGGAGAGATAATCGATAAGTCACGGATTCTTAATGTCACTTTTAGTTTTCGCGAAAATTTCCGACAGGAGGGGGATGTCGTATCTAAGCTTTCCAAGCAATTGATCGAGACTGTCGAGACATTATAATCGGACATTGTCCATGTCATAATATCGAGTCGTCACCTATTGTCATTGCCCCCAGGGGTCTATGTACTCTAATATATGTCAAGAAAAGGTCTTACACAGTCCACTAGTTGCAATGACTCTAGCTCCCCACAATATTCCGAAAGAATATTACAAATGGAAGGATTATGATATAAATCGTTCTAGTAATGTTTCGAGATAAAATGTTTTGTTGAAATATTTTTTGTTGTGATTTATTGAGACATTTTGAGTTTTATTATTTTGATAGGGAATCAGACATAAATACTCACAGACAATGTCATCCCTGGGAAATGCAAGCAAATGGGGACAGCCGGCCAACCATCAGCAACATAAAAATGAAACTGCCATACTTTGTTTCTCATATATGTCAGGACTGTCTGATGGAACTGAAAAGTACAGAAAAAAAAAGTGATACTTCGATTGAGCGTATGATTTAAATGTCACTGGTAAACTGACCATCATTGACATCCTACCCTCAAAATATCCGTTATCTGACTCACATACCAACCAAAAGGTATCAAACGGTCAAGGCCACTGGCACATACTTCCCTACAATCGTACACACAACCACTTTTTCATCTAAAAACCAAAGCATTCGTCCCCATATCCTCTCCCTAAATCGATGAACTTTGCATGTCTCATATCTCTCTACACCGGCGAACAAAATCGTACCAAGTTCAACGGGTCTATGCTTTCCCGCCAATTTTCATCGACCAGTCGCTCTCCCCCTTCTCCAATTCTTTCATCATTTAAAATCAATATAACTGGTAATTCAGTGAAAATTACTTGAAAAATTTGGTATTAAATATTCCAATTAGTGGTCAACGCGATTGTTCGGATGTCATAATTCAGAAATTCCAGGGAGCAAGTGGGAAATGGAAATTCTCTAAGGGTCACGGCAATGCAGTGGTTCATGTCTGGCCTTGACCTTACGCGGCACAAGAAAAATAACGCATAACCATACATCTTATGTCGATGGTGATTGCATGGGCTCGAAGGGAAAAACATTCTACTTCGTTGTTGAATCTACCTCTCGAACCTTGAGATCTTATTATACGTGGAACATCGTAGATTATTTTGAATGGAAGCTCTTCATTTGATTCTCTCATTAAATTATTCTGATAATTAACGAATTGCGAGTCATTGGCAAATTTTTAAAACAGTTTTCATAATTACAGATTAAAAAATACAGGAAAAATTGTAATCGCGGACTAGATGCTCAGAGATAAACGAAACACGTCAAGTCGTTTTATCACAAGTACCCGGAGTACTTTGTCAAGTACATTAACTTACCTTGAGTGACTCGGGTAAGTATCCGGCGAGAAATTCTAAAAGTAGTGGAAGCTCCTCATTCATAAGTAGACGAAAGTTCCTGCCCCTTTCTACGGGTCCGGGGCACTCCATACTGAAAACTAATTAATCCACAAATGTCAGTTGCATTGCTGGTAATTTTTATTAAAAGTAACAGAACTGTGAGATCACGTTTGCACGAAATAGCGAATCCCCTCGTTCCTATCATCATCTTACGATTTAAAATTTCAAATTATTTCATAAATATTCAATTAATACTGATACCCTGGGCTTAACACTTACCCGTAATCCCGGATAAACATTATAATCAAATCAGATTCGTGAGTAGTGCAACCATAGTTTTGATCAGACGAACACATTGATCGGATCTGGGGAAATGATCTTCAATTTTTCACATGGGAAATTCAACCACGGGGAAAAAAACCAACGATCCTCCCCTATTTCCTTCCACAATAGCCCGTCATTAATTCCCCACAAAATTTTGTTTCCATCTCGGAAAAATGTACAGTGTGAATTAATGGATACAAAAATTCGATTTCTTCCTTCAATTCTATTTCAATGAGTGACAAATTTCAATGGGAATTTCTGGGGAAGGGATAAACAGAGTACAGAATTTTCTCTGCACCAATCTTTTCACTGGTGCAATTACAATTTTCAAGTTTAATTTCTGGGGGATAAGCACGTGACTATCGATAGCATTCAATGTGGGTCATACGACGTTAATTGGAGTAAGACTAGGGTTTCTAATTTGTGTATGTTCAGTGTCAAAGAGAACGTCAAGGGGCTGTCAATGGGACTCATCATGTCTCCAACTTGCAAAATACTTCCTTCCCATTCTTAGGATATTATTTCTAATTGTTATTGGAATAAACGATAATGTGACTCCTTCTGAATATTTAATGACTCGAATCCCAGACGTTTGCCAACTCTTGAAAACCAGAAATTATGTCTTCAACCTATTGACTATGATTATAATTATAACAGGATTCTACCGACATTGGGGCGAGCCCCACGACATCAATTCAAATTCAGGTATTCCAGAAGAATAACCCTATCATTAATTCCGGATAAATTATGACAGAATGAGGGTCAAAGTGAGCCGTAACCCTATCCCCACGTTGAACCCCCTCAACCGGCTGTTTTATTCGCAAGCAACCTCACGGAATCCGAGTGAATACCGTTTCACAATTTTCGTGTGAATTTTCATCTCCCAGACAATTGAAGTGACACATGTGAATGAAATACCCTCATGCCTGCACGTGTACAACCATAATGCAATTAACCTCGCAATATCCATCACCATAAAAATACAATTAATTCCAAAAAACAAACAATAATCCCACCACTCATTGTCGCACCGTCGACAACAATTCCGACAAAATAATCACCACTAAAATATTCTCATCTTCACTGATACAGCAAAATAGTCAATCCCATCAATATTTCATTAATAATGATAAAACACTGGGTAGAATAAAGAGGAATTAAAAATTTTATCGATTCACCTGCAACGAGTTGGGGACGATCACGACGGGTTGCTTCTCGTTGAATGTTTTAACCCTGTTCCTGGAGAATTCTGAGAATTGTGAATTTCTCGTCGAGTTTTATCGAACTGGTGGGATTTTAGGGTGTTGAGATACTGGTTAAGGATCAAGGCGAGCCCGGTTGAATTGAAATTATTATGGTAATGAATATTTGTTGACTAGCCGGGCTCCCTTGTATGTGCGACTGATGTCGCCAAGGGCTCGTTTCGAACGGAGGCAGACCCGCCCGCGCCGCCCCCAGAACCCGCACTGAACACTCTACCACGCCACCGGGCCACGGCTGCGGCCCACTACGGCCACCCCTCCGGCCACCGAGGGCTCGCAGTTTTATCAATGCGCCACCAACCGGCAGTTCTGGACTATTTCGCTCCGTGCGAACCTACATTCCCATCAACCAAATCAAAATTCAGGCATCTCTCACGCAAAAACAACACATAAGCTCTATATACCATTAAATTATCCACATATATAAAGTATATATACAGTTTTTCGAAATCAGCTATTTCTCGGGCATGGGAAACGCTATGTAAGCCGTATGTATCATTTCATTATGAGCGGGGATATTTTATTTTTTAAATTCACGCATCTCTCAGTCGTTGGAAACGCTATATCATTTTTATATATCGTTTAATTATACGCATATATGTGAAGGAAAAAATGCAATATGTCAGATCAAGGCGGAATATTGGTACATATTTATTGCACGCATTTAATGTCTATGTGACATATTTCGGGGGGAAATACAGGGTGTCATTATATGTCGCATATAATTGGGTTAATGTATTTTTTTTTCGTGTGGGTTCGCTATCATTCAGAATTTTATTTTATAGTTGTGATGTTTTCACAGGGATGAGTCGGCAGTAATTAAAGGGATATTAATGAGGAGTTTGGGGTGTTTATTTTTTTTTTGGGTTCATTTTGTCTCTTGATTTTATGATTTGATTTTTTCATGATAAAATGGGAATATTTACTGTTATATCAATTAAATTATCACTCAAGACGATTATTCCGGTGTTTCCTCGTCGATTTTTTCTTTCGACGAAAAAAAATTTCACGTACTGAATTTTTCAATGATTTAATCCTGCTGTGGCATATGGCGACGAGAAGGTCTTACTGTGGAATGGCTAAACGATTTCAGTAATAGTTTTTGTAATTGATTCTTTGAATTACTTATTTTATCCCTTGATTCGTAATCTGGATTGATCTGAATTGCGAGATGATGATTTAAATGAGAGAAAAATTTCCAATTCGGTCGTTGCTGGGTATCCCGAATTCTTTCTCATTAATTTCACGTGATTATTTTTCGAAATATATTTTTTTTTGCGTATAAATTAGTGGAGGTGCGCAGGCGCGACGCGGTCCCCCTCCAGGTGTCGAGGAATGAATCCTCGCACCTGCGCATCGCGGCCTCCACACGAAAAAAAAAAAATAAAATTTCCAACAAAGTGGATCAGAATTCAAGGACACTAAATTTCAGGACGAAAAAAAATCAATCCAAATGCACAAATAACTCCCGATGTAAAGGGTCTCCTGAGCCTAAAAAATAAAGCAAAATTTCTTCTCCATCTTCTCTTTTATTTAAATCCAAACAAACCAAAGGTGCCAAGCCATTGATTAAATTCCTCCCCTAAACCCACCCGCTTCAAATATGGATTCACCCCAAAAATATAAAAACATTGACTAGCAATAGATGAGAATAATGAAAGATTCATGAACATGTCCCCGAAAAATTAATTATCCACTTTTCAAAGTGGAAAATAAATGAAAAGAAAAGGGGATCATTAATTCTCTTGAGGAAGAATTGGGGAGGGAAACAGTGGATTTTTTTTTCAGGGGATTGCACCATCCCTACACTCCCCTCTGAGCGTCGCCGTGAGGGGGAGAATAATCACCCCGAGGAAGAGGGAGCTGGAGAGAGTAAGAGAGAATCATCCAGAGAGATCGATTCGACTGTGCACTTCTTACACGACGCGCCCCACACGTACCGATCACGTTTGCATCGTGTACACACGCGTAATTCATAGTTGTGATTGCAATTGCATGAGTCTGTGCCACCCCCCAGGGGGTATTTACCCAATTTTAAATATCCCCCCGTCAACCCCTTGATACCACCACGACTTCCCACATCACCCGATAAATCCGTGAATCAGTGAATCCTTATTATTTACCAAATGCCGTGTGCTCCAATAATAAAATTAATTTAATCATTTTGTGTTGGGTATCGAATCATCCTGACGTGACGTTGACGTTGCGTGAAAATGTGGAAGAGGTGGTTTAACACAGGTAACGAGACACTCGTTTTCAACTTTTATTTATATTACATCAAATTTTCTCCAACAGCTCACGTTATATCGATTAACTAAGTGTTCGTTTCAAGGCACTTGTCATTTGAATTATCAGCTGATCCCTGGGAGATTGATCACCGATCGTTATCAGTAGAACAGTCGTGGCAGGAATATTTTTATCAGTTTTTATTCTCACGGGATTTTTTATTCCCTTGGTGAATGTGGAGAATGGAGTATATGGAGAAAATTCAATATTCAATTTCCCGCTTTTGACGTATCACTTTACCGACGTGAATCGGTAACTCTTTCGCCCTCTGTACTCAACATCTGGGAAGGGATAAAACAGATTGCCTGGAAGATGTTTGCGATCTGCACTAGAGTATTCATCAATATTCCAGGGTGGATATGAGGATATTTGTGGATTGGAGTGGATAGTTTGACGTAAATCGGATCATCCGTTTTTTGTATTGACATTTGAGCTGAAAATTTCATGGAATGTCCTCTCCATTGAGGGTCACCAAGCATGATTGTTTTCACCGGAAAACTGGAGCAATCGATTGTGCTTGAGTGTCATCGCATGAATCCTCTCCATCATAAGGTGCTTTTAATAAATTATGTAATCGAGTAAACAATTATTTCCTCGTCCTGATAAGTGCACCAATAGGTTCCATCGATGAATCTTGGTTCTACATTGAAAAATATCGTCAACCAATAAGTGGAAAATTTTTTTATTGACTCGATATTTCACTGCGCAAGGCGAGTTCTATTTTTGTACTTGAATGCTCTCGTTTTTTGCATCCAAACGGTTTCATTATACACAAAACACACCCGGCTGTCACTCGAGTAATGCATAGATAACAAGAGTTTATTTTAGATGATAAATTTTCACCTTTCACTCTGATCGATACTATTCACTTTGTCATTTTTCACTGAGCACTCGATACAGTATTTTAATGACATATTTTTTTTTATAGATTCGATTTACAGGCTGAGTATGTCAAGAAGGAAAAACGTGCCAGGGAGGACTGAACGACAATTCGACAACGTGGATTACACCCAGCTGACCGAAACCGATAATGGTTTCGTTGATTCACAGGTAAATGCATGTTATTTACATTAAATATCGTTTCAATCATGAAATTATGATTTCTACATCTGTGGTGATAAGTTCTCCTGGTAATTTTATTATTTTGTTGCAGTTTGTCAGTCCTCCAGTGAAGATCCCATGGAAGGCAATTGGTTTAGCAACCCTTCTGTTCGTTGGTGGCACTGTAATGCTGATCATAGGCAGTCTGATTGTCAGTGGTCACATTGACTCCAAGGTAAGACAAATCTAACAATCTAATCAGCAAAATTCCATAATTTCTATTGCCGTTTAAATAAATATTTCTGTTACCCCAAACATTTCAGTACAAGGATCGAATGTGGCCGATGATTATCCTTGGGGCCTTGATGTTCATCCCAGGTGCCTATCACGTTCGTGTTGCCCTCATGGCGTACACCAAAGTTCCTGGGTATTCGTTCGATGATATTCCCGAATTCGATTGAAACATGAAAACACTGGGGACGACATAATACAATTTTGCCACTTAATTAATTATAGTGATAAGGATGTTGATTGTAAATAACTAATGCCACAATGTGCTTTTTCATCTCTATGCAGGAAGAAATAATCAGTACACTAGAATATTGCAAGTATTATTTTGTTCGTATGGTTTTATTGAACCAATGGGTTCCATTTTTATATCTCTCATTGTCTTCGGTTTTTTATGGAATTACTAGGATACGATTTTTTCAATTTTCTCTGCATTGTGTGTCCTCAGTCTTTGACGATTTTTATTAATATTACTGTTGGGAATAGGGTGTAATATGAAATTTATATGGGAGTTGGATTAAACTGTGATATCAAAGTGCACTACATGACTTTTTGATTCTTTATTCATCCTGCGTAAATCGAAAGAATAGAAGTACAAAGAAAATAATAAATTGTTGTTAAATTAAATAAAATCCGTTTAAATTCATAGTTTCGTTGAACATGATAGAAACTGCACGAGATAAAAATTAAAAAACTTCAGAGGATCATCGTAAAAAAATTAAAAAATTCTATTGATTGTGTCGTCAAATAAAATTGAAAAACCAGACGTGATTCCATCATACCAATAAAATAATAAGTGTCAAATGAAGGAGCAATGAATTGATCAAAAGAGTTCAACTCCATTTACTGTGAAAAATAAAATGATTATGTCTCCTCACTCAAGAGACGTTGAAAATTTTCGGAATTGAGATAAGCGACAATATTTTCACCCGAGAGTTTAAAAATATTTTCCATGTCCTTGACAACATTGATAGCAGGATTAAAATGCTTGAGAGCCTTCTTCATCAATTTCTTGGCACGAGCTAGAGCAATTGCATTATATCGAGCGTTGATAATGCACTTGAACTGCGGGACAATCTGAAAGTTCAAGTATATTAAAACGTTCTCTGGAATAATATCTTTGACAAGTGCACCAAACTTGTCCCTGATATTTTTAAATAGGTGAAAAATCTGGAGGAACATCTCCTCCTCTGTGTAATCAGTATTAATTCGAATGCACGTGGGATTTATAATATTAATTATTGGATATAGACCGATCCAAGTCGTGTACTGATGCAAACGTCGAGACGAAATAAAATCTGAATGAAAAACTGCTACGATGAGAGCTCGTAATGTCGATCGTCGTGCATTTAATCGATGACGTACAATTAAATTAGCAATTTCTACTAATTCTTCTTTCCTATTTGATTTTAGCAATGACTTACAGATTTCATCGGTGTACTGAGACAAATCTGGAAATAAATGACAGGATAAGTACTATTTATTGACCACAGGAGTACCATATTTATTATTTCTTAATCTATTTGTTTATCTACTTCTTCTCAATTTATTTTACCAATAGGTTCATAGCAATTGATCTGCTGTTCCAACATCTTTTTGAAAACACTGAGTGCCTCCTGAGGACAGACCCCACATAAACTCATCAATAAATTTCCCAAAATCATTTTCCTCAGTGATTTATCGATCGAGTGGCTTCTGAGAGCCCAGTTATTTCGAGGCAGGGAGATCAAATTATACTCTGTTAACAAAAAAACAAATTTTCTTCATCATTCATTTACTTTTAATTGACAAATATACTGTATTTTTACTTACTCTCACAATTATACAACTGTACTTCAAACGTTCACATTTTATTTCCAAAAATAGAAATCGAATGGAGATTTCAGGTGAAGTAAGGAGAGAATTTAAATCATAATTCAATAATTTCAAACGATTCTAACGAACTCAACTGAATATTCTTCCCGACGATATAAAAAATAATTTTCAAGTTCGGAAGTGATCTCTCCTTATTTTCACTTGATTACATTTTCAACACTCAGCAATTGATATTTTTTTTCTACTAGTCAATTACACTCACGATTTAATAGTGCAAGTGCCTTCAATGGTCGCTGATTGGCAATGAAAATTTCCGCCATTAGAAAAATATATTTCGGTGCTTCCCTGATTCCACACATCCTCTTCAATATTTTTAACAAACGATAAGCAATTATCCATGTCCCGTCATTAGCTAATTTGATTAAGAAGTGTGATCCAATCTCGAACAATAAATGAAGAATTCTGAAGCTCCTGGTGTGAACTGGAAAAAGATTGAGAGAAAAAAAAGCGAAAAAAAATGCGAGTTGTGAGAAAGTGAAACAGGTTATCAGTACAAATGTCAGGCAAAAGAGTAATACAAACAAATCTATTTCGATAATAAAGTTTATTTGGTTATTAAGATACATTTTTTGTTTCAATATACTCTTTGTGTCCCCGTAAAAAATACTCGTACATACTTTTTACGCGCTTTTTTATTTACTACATCGTCACCGACGATTTTTCACCGTTTTTACCACTTTGGTTTGATTTTCCTTTTCAAATAAAATTCTATTCTTTGGGGCTTACAAAAATATTAAAGATACATATGAAATCTGTTGAGAAACATATTTCAGTTATCACACTGAAATCATGAGTTCGCAATAAACTAAATCATTTTCAAAAAAAAAAAACAAAAGTGTAATTGTTAATATATAGATTTCTCTCTATGCAAGTAAAATAAGAAAAAATTTCTTCATATTAAAGCAAAGCTTGAATAATCGATTCACGTTAACATTCAACTGAAAAGCTCAAATGGTCTCTGCGCTGATGCATTTATTTGGATCTTTCTACTTTCTAATCTCTTGAAAATTTATTGCTCCTGGTGATTCGATAACGACCGGTATCCGATTGTTGAAAAAACCGATTACCTGAGAGTTTTATCAGCTCTTGAAGATGATCAGCTGATGTCATAACTTCTCTACATAAGATGTGGTAGAATCCTTTGGCAAATGGTTTGGTCTCTCGATTCCTTGTACAGTTGAGAGTATCAATGACTCGACGGTAATCCCTGTGTTTCAAACCATGTCGAATGTTCCCTAGGTCCAAATGGAGATCCTGGACGTGTTTTTTGTAGAGGGAGGTTGGTCTGCTGACTCGATCTACCCACATTAACAAAACAATTTGGTGTAAATTCAATTAATTAACTCAGTAGCGAAGACATAAATGATCAAATAAATTCTACTAATCGATAAATTTACTGGCAATATCCCTGAACCTAAGACAAACAGCGAAATTTTCCAGAGAAGCTCGTATGTACAATAGAGTGAGAGCGACAAAAAAGAAATTTACAAAAATTTTGCAATCTCCCGTCGATTCCGAAATATTCCTCTAAAATTCATCGATTAATTAAATCGACTTATCATTTACATTGTTGCTACTAAATTGGAATTTGAAATACAGGAAATTATTTCACACTCATACAAATGATTTCCACCAGTGCCTCGTGTTTCTTCAGAGTAGAAAAAGAAAACAAAACAAAGCGATAAATCCCCGTGGATCAATGAGACCAAAACAATTATTTACCTCACCTATGGGGATCAAATCTAGAGGTTCTTGTTCTTCAACTCTTCTCGGTCCGTTCAGCGCAACCCTTCGTCCTAATCTCTCTTTAACACTCTTCCTCCTAGGCTCAAGGACAATCGTCTTCGTTTTCTCCTCACACCTTTCAACATGACGAACATCATCTGGAGAAGCTATTTGTGGACACGGCTCACCTCCAACACTAAAATCATTCTCATTATCAGGCATTGGTGTTCTGTCCCCTCCATCGTTCACGTGCCCCCCCACGATAGTATCAGAAAATTGTGTAAACGGTTTCAAGAGGTTGGAATCAATGGTCTGGAGGGTCGGTTGTGGAATTCTCCTGATGACATTCTCATAGACCTCCTCCAAATACTCCCGTGACTTGTCATACTTGACACAGTCATGGAGAATCAAACTAACAAGAAACTGTGGTGGAGCTGAGGTCAACTGCTTGACTAAATCCCTGAAAGTGTCCCAATGAAACCCAGGGGCAATTTGCTTTGATGCAATCAAGACCCTCATCAATTTCTTGATATCATCGTCATCAGGGAGAAGAAAACACTTGGACAACATATTAATTATCGTTATGGGGCTTTTCTTCAATTCGATAAGAGCTGCCACTATCGGTTTCATAGACTCCTGATAGAATTTATATGCAGCGTAATTAACGTGGACCTTGGTTTTGTGCTTGACAGCCTGGACATGGATCTTTGTACAGACATTCTGGATTGATCTTAAAGACAGTTGCTTCACAGCGTCTGGATAGATCTCCAGAAGAGCGTGAAAGTAGCTCTCCTGAATAGCATGATTGAGAACAGATTCAATGACCGCTGGAAAGGCCTTGGATAAATTTTGAAGATAAAACGAGAACTTGTTGTTGTGGAAGGGACAATCCAATCGACTGCATTTTCCAGTTTTCAAATAAGCGTAGCACAAACCTTTGAAGAAGACTTTTGGGTCTTTGGGGAAATACATTCTCTCAGTATTCTGTACTGGTGCGTAAACATCGTAATCATCCCCTGGTTCATGCCCCTCAGCAGCGTCAACTGCTGAGTATTGATCATTAAACTCGCGATAGGTTTGACTCGCATATCGATCAAAATTTGCCATCTGATACGTCTCAGAGTTCGATGCACGGTCCAAGATTTCACCGTCATCCCAATTGACAGGTTTTGAAGCTATATGCGCCGATTTTCCTCTAATGGTAAGAATCGAGGAACTCACAATAGGGGCTATTCTTTTCGGTGATTCATTGGGATTTATTCTTGGAGGCGTTGCCTGACGTTTAATCGGCGATATCTTCTGTGGGGGCTTGTCCTTATCCTTTTTGGCTCTGAAAAATCATCATTAATTGAGAATTAAATCACTTTTCCTAGTCAAAATATTAAAAAAAATTCTCTTGTCAATTTTTTAAATCACGATATCTGATAATTCCGTTTTGACACGAAATAATAAATGTATTTTAATAGAGAGAAACAAATTTTCAAAAACTAACTCATGAGTCTCCGGGGTCTCCTCCATTAAATCATCATCTCCCACATCAAGAAAGAGTGCGTCATCATCCTCCTCCTCATCATCATCCTGAGGAACAACTACAGCTGATGGCTGTGAGGCCTGAATGTTGCCCCCATTATCAGTCTCGAAAGAACTCTGTTTCTCTTTATCCTGAGTTCCAATTCCAGAAGAAGAGCTTTCCTTCAACGACTCCGTGACAGTCTTGGAGGAAGAGGATCCAGAGGACAGTTCATGCTCAGAATCTACCGGTGGAATATCATCCTTGTTGGGCACGTCCTTCGTAGCCTCGTCAATGGTATCTTCAGAATTCAAACCCACTTGTAAAATAGCCTCCAGTGTATCTGCCATCTCTAGATCACCGTCATTCCTCTCGTTGGGAGTATTCATGAACGTTTTAGCAGAGTGTGGAGAGTGGGAGGTTGCGTCTTTGGAGTCCACGTCCTTAGTCAACCAGGCATCGATCAACTCATTCTTTCCAGTGGCACTCTTCTTCTCAAAACCACTCAGAATATAACTAGAACGACTCCTGTCACCGACGAACACCGACAAACGACTGTCATTAGACGTTTCAGAGAGATCATCATCTCCATTGAGACTCCACTGACTATTCCTCTTCACTCTCTTCTCATCAGGACTCTGTAAATTCTCGTCTGCGATTCGCTTACGATTATTTTTCACACCCACTGCACCGTTCTGGTATTTTCCATCCTCTGGTAATCGTCTGGCCACAATCGGAGGACTCAGGGGAATTTTTATGGCAGGAACTGTCTTCCCTGGCACCTGCATTTGCTTCATTATGTGGGACATTACGTCAAGGCCATCCTGGGCGTCTGTGGATTGATTGATTATTTCTAAATTCTCCTTTGTCAGTCGTGGACGATTTGTTTTATTTCCATATTTTTTCTCAGAAGTTATGCCTTTGATTATTCGCTGATCCTTTGAGACTGATTTGTGCGATATCTTCTCGAATGTTCGACGATTATTTGTCGACGACGAAAGGATGTGGGGCTTGCTGAAGAGCCCATTCAAGAGAGATGTCCTCGCATGACCATTCATAACGTCAATATTACTGATCGACGGCGACCTCGAAGATTGACGTTCGTCCGTGGTATCTCCATCGAATGATTCGTCACTACGAATTTTCTTTGGTGATGACACGTCCTCCGACATGAGAGCCGCGATCTCTGGGATTTTCCTCCAGGTTTTGTCAAAACATGATAGGATCTTTGAATCGATTATTGCAGAGCTCTTCGAGGGGTTGAGACACTTCCGGGAGGGGACTGTTGATCTTATTCCGAATTTCTCCCGTCGTGGAGAAGTTGGGGCTGTGGTAGATTGAGGTGCACCGGTTTTCAGGAGTTTTGGGAGAACGTGATTTAGAGTGCCTTCTGGGAATGTCTCGTCTTGGACGATTTTGGGTTTGGGTATTTTGTCTTCCTGAGACTTCTCCAGAGTTTCGAAATCATCCATTGGCACTGAAAGTGGCAAAGGCACTGTGAAGCCCCTGATTTTCTTACCATTCGATTCCGAATTGCTGATCAATTCGATCGGAGCGAATTCAATTATAGCCTTCTGCAATCCATCACCTGAAAAATAATTACGAACAATGTTCAACATTAATAATTACATCTGCGTAAATATATACGAAATTAATTAATTGAGTATTTCATGATTGAAAGATTGAATTTTAAAGGAAAGTCACATATTCGTATTTTTCTAAATGATGAATAAAAAACTCACCAGTCTGATCTTCAGTGTCAACCGAGTCAGTCCCCGAATCAGAATTATTCGCTTGCGCCATTCTCTCATTAATCTTCTCAACAGTCTCCTGATACTTCTGCTCAGCGAAGAGGAATTCTGTATTATCCGGAAGTGAAAGAAGCTTGCCAATTCTCTTGTGATTATTTCCATGAGAGCATCCGACAGAAACACAACAGGGCTTCTCATAGCAGCAGTGTAGTTCGGGTTCCTGGATGATGCCTTGACCGATGCATTGGGACTTGGCCTTGACAGTGTACTTCCTCTTCGGCCTCTTGAAGCCCTGTATCCCACCTCCAGGTCCTTTCGGCTTATTTTTCACCCCAAGCTTACGTCCACGTTTTGCCTTCCCCGCGAATCCATCATTATTCGGCGGTGGGGCCTTCTCCATAGCCTGATTTTTCGTGATAACATTAATAGTCATGTTGCCAACAGTCTTGGAATACTGATAAGGCTCTTTTGGCTTCACAGCTGGCACCTCGAGAGTACTTTTAGGCTTGGCCTTGACACCAGGTTTCCTACCACGTTTCTTTCTTTCTCCACTTGTCTGCGTTTCCAATACCTGAGATACATTATCGAGCTTCTCAGCTTCCTTCGGAGTCTGATAATCCACAATTTTCTCAACACTCGACGCAATTTCATTGCTCTTTTCACCTGTCGCCTCTTCAACTTCAACTTCATCAGACTCGCACCCCTCAACATCTCTGGATTTCTGTGTGCACCTCCTTCTCGTTATCTCCGGACCCTCGTCCTCCACATCTTTCTCTCTATCATCACTCGAGATTTTTCGTACCTTTATTTTATTTTTAGATCCTGGCTTTCTTCCGCGTCTCTTTCTCTCACCGCTTCCTTGCTTCTCCAACTTCTCGTAAACCTCATTACCCTTTCGCTCAGAATCATGCTCTGTTTCATGAGCTCTCGTGATTCCCCCGAAGTTTGATGTACCCTGGCTACTCGATCCTTCCACAGAGTCTGCAGTCTCCATTGGAATGGGCTCTCCCTCTTGAATCTCCTTGGATTTTTCCCTGCTTCTCAGTTTTCTCTCCTCTTCTTTCTCATTTCTCTCTTCGAAAAATTTCTCAAGCTCTATTTTAGCCTGGAATAGAGGGATATAACATGGTTTCGTTAATTTGAGCTGTGCCTCAAGTGTCTTGGCAGTGGGAACATCTGCAGAAATTTCCGCAGTGACAGCAGCTCCACTTCCTGGACCGTCAGCATGACCCGTGCCTTCGGAGACTTCGCCATTCTCCTGGGAAATGAGATGAAGCCTCGATGGCTGACGAGGTGTGCCAAATCCCTTGAATTCCTCCTCCTCAAGAAGAGACACACTCATCACTGGGTCTTCCGAGGTTTTGCCCTCATCGTCGTAAATGAGGATGCAATCATCATTGCTCTCGCTCTTATGATCTTCAATAATCCCGTCATTGCTCTTCGTCTGTGGGGTAGTGGGAACAGAAGAAATTAGCTCGACCCTCTCCTCGGGCTCGGTCTCACTGATCTCAATGGTCACGATGTCCCTGACATCGTTCACCCTGGGAGAATGAGGCGTTGCGGAAAGGGGAGCCGACACTGGAACCTCTTCACCATCGGAGATATCGATCACATCCTCCACGGTCTTCCTAATTTCACTGCCCAACTGGTCTCTGGACCTGCCAGACCTGTCAGAATCATCACAGATGACTTCGTCATCGCTCATCTCATCGATGTTAATGTCATCCTCTCGATCAACACTTTGTCGGCTTTTTGGTGTCGAAATATTCGCCGGTTGACCCATCGAGTTGACGTTCGCGTTCTCGCATATACACCGTGCACGAATTTCCTTGAGACGATTCGCTGATTTAACGATATTCGTCGGTTGCGATTGCGATTGCGATTTTGATGATATTGATTGAGAGAAATGATTTCTGGGACTCAATTGTTCCTGCAATAGTGAATTACCAGAATTCGATTGAAATTCCTGAGATGGTGAGAATAGAATTCTCGAGAGGGGTTTTCTATTCCGAGAAAAACGGAACCTAGAAGGGGACACGGACTTGTCAGGATCTGAACTAGAATCACGAATTAGTATTGGACTCCTTCGTTGAGTCCACGATTGTAAAACGTTATTGCGCAATGGGCTGGTACTAGAGGTTTCCGTCGAAGAGCGTCGAAGAGCGGTGGTCTGCAAAAGGTGCACTCGTCGACGTGGACCCACGGAGGACCTCTCCGCCTGGGAATCACCACTGCCATTCCTCTTCATCTCAGCGATCGAGGGGGTTAACTAAGAACAACGCGATTTAACCGTGTTTTTTTCTTATGGAAAATCAACGGGACTTATTTGTCTCTTCTTCTCTAATTTTTCTACGATTTTCCTCGTTAGTTACAAAAGCTCGTTAATCAAAAGCAGTTCAAGGCTTTCGATTGTTTAATATTATTATTACATATATTATTAGTCTACTGTTTTGTTAGTTAGCGGCATTCAGGGAGAACCGGTGGTTATTGTGAGAATTAGAGGAGTTAAAGAGGAATTTTACGTTTTTTCTGGGACTTCCGGATTAATTCACGTTGGATTAACGGTTTCGTTCGCTCGCCTCATTCGATTTTTTTTTTCTATTTCATTGTTTATAGATGAAGAGAGAGAGGGAATGAACAGAGAAATAGGCGTCGCGAGATCATCCTCACCCTCGAGAAAGAAATCACTGATGAAATTGTAAAATAAACCGAGTCAGGCTTATCATTTCCGAGAATTATTAATTGATCTAAAAAATTACGAATTCTCGGAACAAGTGTCAAGTGACGTCTCTATCGGAAGCTCAATGAATCAAAAAAAAAGTTCTCAATCGTTAGTATATTTTATTTTTCAAGTGGATTAAGGAAAAAGGTTAACAATTCGAATTATCTCGTTCTCTCAGTTTATCACACGAATGTACGAGTTAGATCATCGAGGGATTAGATCGAACAAATTAAATCAGCTCCTGGTGTTCGTCGATGAAAAAAATATCTTTTTTTTTTCGACAGAGAACCTTGAGATATTAACTGGTTCGAGTAAAAAAAAATGTACACACTTACATTGGCGCCGTTAAGGAGACTCATGACACTGATGATGGCTGAAGCCACGAAATTCTCATGATTAATCACAGCTCAACGTCTGTCGACCTCCTCTGATCCTCGAAAATCATTAACTCGCCCTGTTAACATTCCAACAATGAAAATATAAATCTCAACGTCAAGGGTCTCATTACCGAGAGTAAAGATTACTCTTGCAGTGAATACTCACTTATCACGAGGTTCTAGAGACAATGGATGCTACCGGCCGGTCAATTTCCCATCGATTCACATGAATTTATCACTAACAAAAAAAGAAAAGCGGTACGAACTCTAAAACCAAATTTTTATCTTTAACAATTATTTTTCCGTACGATTGCCGGCCCGTTTTTACTGCCGGTTGTGGTTTTTTTAGGAATTGGAAAATACTTTGTGATGAAAAACTGTTCTGAGTTTATCAGAGGGATCCACGCCACTGAGGGCTGAATTTTTCATCGAGAATAAAGAAGAACGAACAAAGAATCACTCTTTGGAATCGGAACATTCGCGGTTCCGGTGACAGTGCTGCCACTTTCAAGATTTCACCGGTTTTTGAATTTTCCCGCTGTTACAATCGACTATCCTTAGTAATGAATACGTTCTTCTTAATTAACGACTGGCTTTTCGAAATTTCCTGCAAAGAGTTATATTAGCTGATTGAATTCCTCAATGAGTTGACATTCGTAAAATGAAATCCAGCGATTTTCCTTTAGTTTAAATAATAGTTCATGTATCTTAAAAAAAAACGCAATTATACAAATTTTCCGAAGTTTGCAGAACGATTTCATTCATCTAGATATAATTGACTGGAGAATGTGGAGGTATGAAAAATAACGAGCAATATTTACAAAATAAAAAACGACCTGTCATTTATTAGTTTATTATATATGAATGTTTTCCTTCATAATGTTGTACAATTTATCTTTCATTGGATGAAAATCATACATTATTAATTACGTATTAATAATTACGGTACGTAGCCGGTGATATCTAAATTATTATAAGCGAGTTGCTGATCAATCCAGTTGCGAGCTGCTGCGATGTTTGCGTAGACTCCAGGAATTCCATTATCACCGCAACCAATGCCCCAGGCGACGGTTCCAGCTTGAACGTAACGAGAAGGATTACTGCGAAGTGGACAGACCAGGGGACTTCCTCCATCGCCCTAAAATCAGTTCAAAAATTCAGATTAAAAATTGAACATTAAATTCCTTGACATTTCCCTGTTCTCAATTATACCCTGTCAACCAGAACTTTGAATTAATTAAATATCCTAAACGCGAATAGATTTCCCAATAAATTTTCGAGAGTAATCCTTTAGGACTGGATTAATTCCAGAGACAAATACGACGTAATTACCTTGCACGTATCTTTTCCAGGTTCGCCCCCAGCGCAGATAAAGCTCTTATCGAGAACGAAGAACTTTCCAAGACGAGTCGTCCTGAGACTGTTCTGACAAAGTGCAGGGTTGACTACTGGGAGATCAATTTTCTTGAGGATTACCTGGTAACGACCTTGTTGCTCTGAAAGCCCCATAATACTGCGATTAATAATCCCTTAACACATCGATTGAACCTGTCATGAAGTAATCGTACCGAAAACATCTTTGCCCCATCCACTGGCGAAGCACCTGGACCCGTCGAAGACGTCATTGACTTCAGGGAGACAAACAACATCGACATTCTGAGCGATATCCAATGGTCGGGAGAGAAAGAGGAGAGCATAATCATTGCGCAGTGCCCCAGCATGAAAATTCTCGTGAACGACGTAATTCGCCACATCGCGATCCTGATGAGGGTAAATCTCAGATTTGGTCTGAGTGTCCCATTCTCCTGCACGAATTTTCAATTGTTGTGGTGTCTTCCTGCAAGAAGAAAAAATATCACATGAAACATCACCTGGTTTACAAGATATCCAGCAATGATCATCAATTCATAATTATGTTAAGCATATAAAAATGATTTTTTACCCGACGACGCAGTGGGCAGCTGTGAGCACTACACTGGGATGTATGAGAGACCCTCCGCACTGATAGACAATTAAAGTCTGTCCATTGATATCCTTGTCCGTCAAAATAGCCACCATCCATGGAAATTCCGCAAACTGCGCCTCATTATCCTGATCCCCAGTGATCCTGAATCCCACACCCTGGGGATTACGGTGTCCACATCCCCTACGTACTGGCACTGTTGGTCGTGTAGTCACCTCTGGCTTCTGTATGATATTTGGTTGTGCACAGCATAGATCGAGATAGCTCTCACAAGGTCCTTGAAGCCTGAAATTTATTCAACGATAAATTGTTGAGTATTTGAAGAAAAAATCCAGATACCTCACGCCATCGAGACCCTGAAAATTACCTAATGTCAATGATTCCAACTCCATCATCAACAATGGAGCCATTCTGGCACTGGTAGTAAGGCACACACTCGCAGTCATCATTATTATTACTATTCTTCTGATTATCAATACCTAGAAAAGTATCACCAAGATTTTTAACTTGAACGTTTATCATATTTTTTTTTGCATTACGTTGGTCATTGTTGCCTCCTGTACCAAAAACCGACTCAATGAGTTTATCAACATTTCCATCATTAGATGCAGGTGGTTGTGATGGTCTTGATTGGGGATTTGGAGCATTATTATTGAGATTGGGATTTTCACGCGATATCTCATCAATCAGCTCATCCAACGTTTTTTGGGCGGAGGCCATGACCAAGGCCCCCAGCAGCATCAGACTTATCTTCCACATCTGAGGAAAACAAAAAAAAATCATTAATTTCATTCGGCTAGTTTTCGCATTCTTCGTTCTTCCATCATTCATTTGATTTCTTTTCTTCTTTCTTTTCTTCTTTCTTTTCTTCTTTCTTTTCTATCATTCCGGTCCGTTATGACGGAGATAATTTGCATAACTGGATCGAGTTAATAATAGCAAAGGGAAAGAATTTTTATTGCAATATTTAGAGAAGAGGTAAAGGGTAAAGGTAAACTCGATTCATTAATCAAATCAATCGATTGAGTGCGAAAGACGGAAAAATATGGAAACTTTGGAATTGATGTGAGGAAACTAAGAAAGAATTTGCAATTAGTCTTCAGTAGGATGTTTACCCGTGCATTTACGATGACACATTATAAATTATTCACAATGACAGTAACAGACTGATTAATTTCAAACAAAAATGAATATTTGGATTTTGCCAGTCACCAAATTAATGATTATTAGAAAGCAAACAGTGGCCTTAACTCAACCGTAGTTCCAAGGAGTCTTACTATGTGTTAATTTGTGACGTCACGGAATTTCCGAGTGTTTATAATCATACAGTCCTGTCCAATCATTTCACAAATCACCTGAAAGAATCTTGGCATGACTCATTAACTATAAATACAAATACATCAATGGAATTCGCAAATTGTTTGTTTCATTTGAGCGCTAAAAAATTCAAGTACATAATGAACGCGCGTAAAATTAACGAGAATTGATTATCGATGGTAAACAATTTTCTAGCGATCGTCATGTGATTAACTTTGCTCATTTAACCCAACACGTGTGCACGAATCAATGATTTTCAATTACTAATTATCCTGCGAGTTACGATAAATTGGGAATGATTTCAGCGTCAATAATAATATTGAAATTCAATTTGAAAACAATAAAAACATGAGGAATGATTTCTTCCTGTGACTTGAGAGTTCACGGGAAGATATTTATCACTTCCGACCGATTCTACATTCGTTTTATCACTAGCAAACTTTAAAGACAGGAAAAATAAACATTGACATTAACAAATACAACGACAGAGACAAATTTTAACGATCGCAGTTACTATTACAACCAATCGTAAATCTCTGTCTTTCGAAAAAATAAAGAAGAGAAAAAAAAATCAAAACATTGCATTGCGCTTGTAGAATTATTTATCAGAGCAATTTCGAGATGAGTACGTATTAATAAAATATGAGACTATGAAATTACATATTTTCGTTGAGTCACAGATGCTTGAAAAAGTGAAATGAAAAATGAATGGTCAGATTGAAAAATTATTATTCTGCATAATATTCTGAAAAGTGCAACCAGTATTATCACTAATTTTTAATTTTTCGTATTTAACGAGTGAGTATTATTGTATAAGCGCAGAGTGAGAAGGATTACTTGATAAAGCTGTAAAATTATTTGATTGAAGGTAACTCACGGTAAAACCTGATGTGCCTGTGCTCGAGACGATCACCTTCTTATTGGAATGACGACGCACGATTAGCACGACCCTGACTGGTGCTGGCGATCCTCGAGTATTCACTGGTCATCCCTACTCCCCTCATTATTCCATACAACTCCCCACTTTGACTTTTGTGGCACTTTCGACATCATTCATTACAGAATTCACTTCATCAGCACATGCTATCATCATCTCATGTTGGTCCCCATCTGCCCTGGGAATCCCCTCCAATCAGAAAAAAAGAAAGAATTCCAGAAAAACCCGAAAAGATTCATTTCTTGATTTCTCTCCCTCAAGTAAATGTTCGAAATTGAAAAATAGATCAATCAATTCATCAGAGCAATAATCACAGCAATAAAAACAATCACAAAAAATTGATAAACATACTTAAATGTTGAAATGTTTGGATTGATTTCTTATAGTTGGTTTGTAAAAAAATATTGCGAATATTGGAATTGAATGGAAGAATTATTCGGTTTAGTATAATTGGATATAATTGATTGGAATGAGTGCGCTGGGTTTTTCTATGGGTTTTTTGAATAAGTAAAGCGGCGAGCAATTGGCAATTTTCCAGTTACATATAACGCATTGGGGAATCCCCCAACCGCATGACGGGCTTTCGATCTCAACGACCCTCGAATTACTGGGAACGAGTCCTCCGATATCCAAATGGCAGCGAAACTCGTAGAAAATTTTTTTTATGACAATCTCCATCTCAAATTTCACATCTTAACCTTGAGACACAAGATTGAGAAATCTGAGTCCTAGTTTTCGATCGGACTGAGGACAAATTCAAAATCTAATCACGGAAATTCATAAAAAATCCAATCGATAAATCATTTTTTCGTAATGAATAGAATAATAGATCAATTCATATTTATTTATCTGTGGAAAATATAAAAATTATGCGGACCAATAACTCTAAATGGGTCAATGATGTCTGCAAGACTAGTTCAACCCACATTTATAACAATTTTACTGAGTTACGGATGTTCATGTATTTCACGTAATTGCATTCACTCGTAAACAATAAATGCTAGTTTATTCCTTCAACGCCTGAAAAGTAATTAACTTCCCGGAAACTACATTTCCTCACTCGCTTTTATCAATTTGCTCGGCTTATCCTGATTTTCTTTCTTATGATTAATCGCTGCTCTCAATCGTTTCGTTTTACATATCTGATTTTGATTTATAGCAAACGATGAATAAATAAGCTAGTCTATTTATAACAATGGCAATGATCTATAGAAATTAAACGTCACGGCTCGAGGATTCTTTTGTGGAAAAATAATTTCAGTTCATTCTCCATTTTTGCAATTATTTCCAACAGCTTGCTTTTCATTTCGTTAATGATCACATAGAGAGTGTGGGATTCGTGTTATCTTGGTTGACTTTTGACTCGATTATGTAAGACTAATTGAAGTTTTAGTCAACTCGCGTATTAATTATGTAATTGAAATCTAGGGACAGCTTGTGGACATATTTTTTTCATTTCTTCAAATTGATTTAGGAAAGTAGTGGACTAGTTCGATTAATTCCACTATCATCTGTAGCATCAAAAAATTCCGTAATTGACAAGTTGTTGCTCAATCCACTGACGATGCTGAATGACATCGACGTAAACTGCTGGGACATTACTCTGACCACAACCAATTCCCCAGGAGATAATTCCGACCTTCAAGCATAAATAAAAAATAATGAATTAGTTTTGTTTATTAAATATTCCCAATGTCATCACGTTAAGTTCATTCCCCTCGAACAAAGATCTTGAATAATAAAACACATAAATATTTTCTCTGAAATACAGAATTCGAAAGCCAGAAGTGAAGGGTAACGAGTTAATTGAGTTAATGGACAAGTTTTCAGAGAATATCTCCAAATCTAAGAGAGATAAAGAAATTTTTGTAAAGACATTTTTTGTAGATCTTATTTCGGTTTAAAAAAAAGATCTCAGAAAATTTTTTCTGTCTCCCTTATATCCAGAGATACTCCACTCCTTCGTTGCTGAATTTTGGAAGGGATAATTGCAACTAATTAAATTATTGTTGCATACTTGAATGAATTGTCCTGTAGATGTTGGACAAACTAGAGGACCACCTCCATCACCAGTGCAGGTGTCCTTACTGGCCTCTCCACCAGCGCAGATAAAACTCTTGTGTAATTGGAAGTACTGTCCCAACTTCGTGGCTCTCAAACGACTCTGGCATTCTTGTCTGTCGACTAAGGGCAAGTCAACTTTCTTCAGGATAGTCTGGTATTTTCCCTCTGCAAAAGAAAATAAATTATTCCCTAATAATTTCCCTCACCTGGGAAAATGAAAAGAACGAATTAAATTTCGTCGCAAAATCCAATGTACAAACCAAAACCACTTCTTCCCCATCCGGAGGCGAGACATCTAGTTCCAGGCATGAAAAGAACAGCTTGCTGAGGTAGACAAATAGGCACTACATTAACTGCATAACTAACAGGAGTCGACAGAATCAGAACAGCTACGTCATGATACAGCCCTCCGGAGTAGTAATTCGGATGAGTAATGACTGATTCTACATCGGATTCTTGGAATGGCGAGGGCTCGTTATTGTTCGCTGTATTCCATTCGCCAAATCGGGCCACAAGAAGTCCCGGTTTTCGACTGTGAGGAAATAAAATTCATTTGTACTTCAGAATTAAATAATCGATTGAATAATTCAAAATTACTTCAAGACGCAATGTGCAGCGGTGAGAACAGCCCTGGAATTTATCATGGATCCTCCACACAGGAAGACATTGTCTCCTCCAGTTTCTCGGCTGAGAAGTGCCACCATCCAAGGAAATTCAGCAAAACTGGTGTTTCCAGAACTTGTTGTACACATGCCTGGAGAGTTAAACATGGCGTATGTAAAGGTGTAGGGATATTTTTCCCATTTCCAAAGAAATTATATTGAAATTTTTCACACGACTTTATCTAAAACAATTAATTAAATTGAATTATAGATACCTGGAGCGCAGGCAGAGTTCCTGGTTCCACAAACAACGGATTGTCCAGAATTAGGGACATTGACAATAGACGTGGCATCTCCAGTTACTTCACTGCCTCCTCCCCTATTGCTGATGATTCCGCTGGAGCGGCAGCACACTGCATCAGAAACCATGCACAATCCAAATCTGGGATCAATGATGCCAGCTTCATCGATGGTAATGATAAAATCTGGATCACAGGTGGATATTTCCACGCATCTGCATTCCCTAGGAGTCCCTGGATTTTTAATATCTCCAGTGACATTGAGCCTAGAATCGAGTGGAGGATATTGAACTGGAGGAGTTGATCCCATAGGCATTTGTGTGGTGGATGTTGGGACTGTTGGAGGACTCGGTGTGAAGAGACCACCTGCTGAAGAGTCCTGACCATTGGGAGGAAATTCGCAGCATACTTCGTCTGCTGCACAATCATTTGTTATCAGGCCTTGTCTGGCTCCTGGAAATCTGGGGCTGATGTTGCCTGCACCAGAGACGATGATGTAACCGTTTGCGTCGCACTGGGGAGTTTTGACGCAGGTGCATGGTCTATTCAGGGGTGCAGAAGGTGTTGGAATCCTGGGGGGTGTTGGAAAAATGACAGATGTGGTTGGCAATCGACAACAGATCATACTCGCTGCACAGGGGTACGCTGTTTGCCTTGGATTAATTATTCCTTCTCCTGAGACCAGGAGAATTCCATTGGCATCGCACTGGTAGGGAAATGCACAGATGCAGTCTGGTGGGAATGTTGGGAAAGGTGGAAGTGTTGGTGGGGATGTTGGCGGAAGAGTTGGTTGAGTTGGAGGATTTGTTGGGAATGTAGGTGGTGAGGTAGGTACAGTCGGTGGAGCCGTTGGTGGCTGCGTTGGTGGTAGGGTCGGGGGATTTGTTGGTGGCATTGTTGGAGGAGCTGTTGGTGGAATTGTTGGTGGGACAGTTGGGGGATTAGTAGGAGGATTAGTAGGCGGAATTGTCGGTGGCAAAGTTGGAGGATTAGTAGGAGGCACTGTTGGAGGGAGGGTTGGAGGATTAGTAGGTTGCATTGTTGGTGGATTTGTTGGATACACTATCGGAGACATTGACGGTGGCATCTCAGTTGGTCTAGGTAGTCTGCAACATACCTCGAGATCACCTGTACACCGACGAATTCTGGAATGAAAAATTATCACAATATTGTTCACCAATTAACGCGCGAAGTGATGAAGGAGATATTGAAGAGATTTTTGAATTCTTCGTAAATTCATAACTCTCCGTAGAATTATTATTTTTTAAATACCTGACGTCGATGAGACCAATTCCATCAGTAATAATCGTATTATTACTATTGCACTGGTAGTAAGGAACACAAACACAATCAGACGGCGCCGACGTAGTCGTAGGAATTTTCTCAATTACTTGAATTTTGAGTTTATGCTTTAGCAGATGAAAAATACTAGGCTGATCCACTCTACTAAATCTTCTAGCGTCGTTCGGCCACTTCCAGGGTAATCCCGATGTTTTCCAGTGGGAAAATGGAAATGATACATGCTCGGTACGAGATAAACTTGCCAAAACTCCCGATGAGATAATCGAAATGATTGAGATTGTGAAATGCATGTTGCGATTTTTTGCCTGGAGACCCGTTTTCGTTGATGAGAAATAACAGAATGAGAGAATAGCGAGTGGGAACGCATTTATGTAGCCAGGATGTAGGTGTCAAGAGAAACACTGGACACTGGTAGTAAGCAGGAACAGGTCAACAGCGGTGGCTTCGTTACGACTCGACGATCAATCGTTTGATGCTTAACTGGCATAACCATTCCTATTGTCCACTAATCATCAGAAATTTATTATGAAATTTATTCATGTCTCTCGTTCCATATCGAGAACGCAATCAATAGATAATTAATCTGATGACATTATGATAAATAAATTCCGTTGATAATCACTGGTTTGTCATAAAGAATAAAAAATACAACCGGTTCCGTTAAATTAACTCAATATTTAAGAGATAAAGAGCAACAAGTCGAGGAATATTTGAATCTAGAAAAAATAGCGAAAGTTTTGTTGAGATTTTTTTGTACGAATTATTCTACTCTAGAAAAAAATTCTCAGAAAAATGTTTTTATCTTCTTTAGGTTTAGAGACATTTATAAACAATTAGTGGAGGGATGAAATAATATTCTTGTCAGCGTTGCCTGTTTGGTATTGAAACGCTCTCGACCTTTTATTTTTGGAATAGAAATTGATTTGCTAATTTCAGTTCCTGGTGGAAGAGGCCATGACTGTTACTGTGCTATGAGTCATGAAAAATTGATCAGATGGGTTTTTTTTTCATAATCATGTTATAACACTGTTGCGACCCACTTTTTAGACGAGGTGACAGGAAAAGTCGCGACAAATTGTGTAATAGCGAGTTCCGAGTGCTTGACCACTAATTTCGATGGGGAATTACCATAGAAGTATTCGGAATTCCCTGCGAACTAATGGAAATCAAACCGGAGTGGTAAAATTTTTTCAAAAGTTCTAATAATTAATTAGCATAGAGCACAATGATCAATTTTAGGGTGAAACGATCTGTGACGTGGGTCAGGGTCGCGACTGACGCGAATAAAGATTGAGATGCAATTAAATAAAATAAAATGTCAAACGGTTGAATTGAGTGTCCGTGTCACGTGAAAATTCAATAATTCAAGTCTTGATCATCCGCAGCGATAGGAAAAATACTGCTTTTTTAATAAAATGGAGAACATTCAATAAATCTATTTCAGTGAGTGAATAAAAAAATAGACAAATCAATTTTACGCTGCATCTGTGCTGTATTAAAAAAACACCGTTACAAAATATTACATTTAATAAACCATAGGAACTACTTATAATACGTAGTGATACAATTGAATTAATGAGTGTACGGTGGGCGGCATTGTATCCTGATTCTGGTCGTTATGATCACAAAGGATGATAATTCGCATTTGAAATGAAAAAAAAAAAAATTAAAACCGATACAAAAAGTACATGACAGAGCGTTAAACGACAAGTGAAAGCTCGCAAAAATGAAGGTTTCATTATTCATTACTGTTTCACCAACAACCATAATCAATGCATTTTTCTTCTTCCCTCACGTCAATATTCGTCAATTGATCTCATTAATTCGTAAACAAAATGATCTGGACGTGATAAAAAAGAGAAAAGTATAGTAATATTGGGAATAAATTGATATTGTACAATTGCATAAAAGAAATGTGCAAATTCATTACTTGAATTATATTTCAAAGCCAAATAATTACGGACTATTATTTCCTGACGTTTTGCATTTGAGAATAAACAATTCGATTGGGGAGAAAATAAATTCGTCGTGGTTTTCTTTTTTGTGAGCCACCCCCGTTGTCCTTTGACGTGAAATAAATGAACCTATTCAGATAAACCTTATGAAAAGAAAAACTAAGTATAGTTCTCGTTTAAACTTAATTTGTACTTGGTACTTACTTTTTGTACTCATGATATACTGGCTCATCTTAATCTAGTCGCTGATGGTCGCAGGGTAAAAAAAGAGAAAGAATTTTACGGAGTGCGTTATATTGTCCTTTGATTGACTGATTCCATAAATCATAAATAATATTATTTCCATCCAAAAGCCGTTAAAGTCTGCTGAATAGCCCAAAGAATAAGGCCGGCAAATTTCTTGGGCATTCGCCATTTTAACGGATCGCAATTGAAATTTAATTATGCACATCTTCACTCTAAAAGACTCCAAAAAATCAATTTCTACATCTTTGTACAAGTAATAACACAAATGTTTCTGCTGTCATCGGATGAGATATTAAATTAAAAAAAAAGTTTCACTGTCAGAACTTTTTCATTTAATATTCCACATGCTAACGAAGCGAAAAAATTCGGTTACTTTATCTGAAAAAATCCTAAAAATATACTATTTCACGAGAAAAACATGAAACCCGATGCTAGTGAACTAAAAAATCTGATTACCCCCAAAAGTCTTTCTCAATTTTCCCCCTAATCATATATTTCCTTAATCATATCAAAAATGTAATGTAGCACACACACTAATATCTCTCGAGGAGTCCTCGCTTGTTAATCCTAAAACTAATAGTAAAACCCATGACGGACTGAATGTAATTATCGGAATGTCTTATAATCTGGGTCATTAACCACCCTCGAAGGTTTTTAATTAATGAACAACGAAATATTGATAAAATTACCGACACAATTGGTTAATGTTCTCTGTGAACATTGAGTCTGTCAAGAAAACACTGGTTTTCTTATATTTGGCAAGCCATCAGGGCTCTTTAAATCAATGACCAACTTCCTCATAATTACATACTAAAATTCTTAAGCTCATAATCGATCGTTTAATGAATAAATGGCAAAATTAACGTGGAGAACATCACTTTGTAAAATCTTTCTATAAAAAAAAACATGATGTATACTCAACATTCTCTCTAACACTTTTTTTTAACGCATGATAGGAGCTTACCAGAAGCTTTAGACTCTTTGGGATTGTACGTCTCGTTATCGCAATGTTTTTGGTAAAACGTTGGTGAGGGCAATCTAAGTTAGAAGTATAAAAGTCGTATTGTTTATTTACTGTAACGACGTTTGCCCGTTGAGTTCCTTAGGAGCTTCATGGTGTTGAATGTTGGCATTGCATCTCCATTCTTGTTTAAACGGCAGTACTTGACGGTGTGCGCATCCTCACCTGTAGCATTGCATATTGGACAAGTGTACGCCCTGTAAAAAAAAAGGATTTTATTCGTTATTAATTGACTCTTCATATACCGTCATATACCATCGCTCATCATGATTTATTTATTAATTACTTCAGAATTGGGCAGGTGGTTTTGCCTTCGACATCCTTGAGGAGATGCCCCTTGTAGTAGCTCTCCTGCTCCCCATTGTTCTTGCAGAAGACGCACTCGGTGGGCATTGGTCTCTTCGACTTCTTGCGACGGCCATTCGGCAGAGGAATCTCACCACTCTCCAGCTCTGGACAGTACTCAAAGTCCTTTCCATTACGTCTAAAGTCGTCCATCACTTCCTCAGCTAAATGATCCGTGAAATTTAAAAATATAAAATTCATAAAGTTAATCAAGATTAAATAGAAAATTTCATAATTCTTCTTAAACATCAATTCCTCCACAGATTCATTGATCTCCAACTTTCTAACAGACAAATCCATAAAATCTATAACAAATAAGCTTAAGTGATAAATCAAGTTACGAATTAGGTATTTTTACTGTTAATTAAGAAATTAATGGAGTAATTAATATAATATAATATAAATATAATAATATAATATTAAATATAAATAGTAAGTGGGGATAAGTGAGTAATTGAATGTGCGCGTTTATTCAAAGGCGCAATCTCATGAAAATTATGAACGAAAACTCGATACTTGAGGACAAATGTGGGTGGAGAATAAAATGATATTTACAGTGTAGAGGTTGCTAATGTAAACACAATCCGTCATTAAATCTAAGCAGAGCAAAATGAAAGCTATCGACCCACTCAATATGCGGTGATCGTGGTCTCAACAAAGAATGTAAACAAACCAAGTTGCGTTAATCCTCTATTTTCTCTCTTTCTCTTCACGCTTTGATCGGATACCGCGTGACGCTTTATTTCTGCGAATTCATACACAGTGTTCTCGGAAATTTTGTCAAGAAAAAGTTAAAAGAGACATTCTCTAACGCCGGCATCAATGTTTGCAGGTATTACTAATTAAAACTGATGCTCTAATAATAACAATTTTAGATAACAATAAAAAAATCCTCGGCGAGATAAATGCAATAAATTTTCCGTCAAAAAATTTTGAAATGTCGGGAAGACATGATTTTATGATTATTAATGAAAAAAGTTTTTATCTTCGTGGAACTCCAACAATTTTTTATTTTTGAAGGTGCTAAATAATTTTGATCAAAGTGAAAGAATTATTTGTAAATCAAACTCTCGGGTTTTAGTTTCGTATTTCATTTGAGTGATATTTGTGATTTCCTTTGGTGTATTGAAATTCCGAAAGGCCCAGGTCCCAGCATAAGCTAAATTACCTCTCTTCTAGGTTTGAGATCAGTTTATAAACAAACGCAGCGGGTCTGAATGTCCTCTTGAAAAAAAAAAATGAGGACTCATTTCTCTCTCTGTTCCACCATTTGTGGCGTGTTGTATCCCTTTCTGGAGGAAAAAGACAACAGAAAAAGGTCCGGTCCACTTTTTTTTTTGTCTTGACGAACGGGGAAAGACACCTCCGCGCGTGCCATGCTTGAACTATTACAGATGTTGTTCAAATGAACAATAAATTCCCTGTACATTTGGAATGCGTTGTAAAATGCTAAAATCCGAGAAAGCCTTTTCCACTATTTTTTCGAGAAAACCAATCCCCATTTTCCCCCCATTTCTTTGTGTAAATTTCATGTGTCGGAGAAAAATGGGGGAAGGTACGAGAACCAGAGCTCAGGCGTCAAGATTGAACGCATTTTTTTTTTCATCTTTACTTTTATTTTCTTCGTATTTATGGGTGCACAAGACAGCACGAATTTTTCGAGAAATTCCAAACTGAGAGAAATTCTGAGGGAAAACAAAGATGCCTTTTGAGTGTTGTGATGGGTTTGCTTGAAAAATAAATATTTCAGCTGTCAAAGTTTTGTAAGCAAAGATTTAATAGGCACTTTGGAATTTAGATCTTCTGGAAGGGAGTTCTGGGGTTATTTAAAATTTATTAGGAATGCCGAGAGATAATTAGTGGTATTCAATTAATTTGATCTTGTTGGCAAACAAGTCCATACTGATCCTTCGTTATCTAACAATTTGATGAAGATGAAAATAAATCATCATTAATATAAAAATTCCTCTCAACTCTAAACAATTATAATTCATAATTAAAAGCAAATGAAAATTATTATAATTAGATATCCCTCGGTAAATAAAATGTAAAGTAACGTTTTTCGATTCTCAAAAATTTTTATCAAAGGGCGATGATTCAAGAATGGATCGGGCTTCATAAAAAGAAGTACTCATTATGAATATTTCATTGAAATGGATGAGGTCAATTGCGCAAAATAGTTTGACTGTCCGATGAGAAATTCAGTGGGTGAAATCCACCGGATATCGTCCGTCAGACGAATGGAAATCCGAGAAGAATTTGATAAGAGGGTAACGACGGCCACATCATCATCACCAAGAGAAAAACAGACGCACTTCGAATGCGGAAATGATTATTCAAGACTTCGCTAAAAACTCATCCTAATCCAGTCAACAGCTGATTGAATTTTCCTGAAGTCCATCATTTGAGGTAAAAAAAAACGGTAAATGAAGACGTGGACTGAACAAAACACCGGTGGAAACGCAATTTCAGTTTATCTCCCGTGAAGTTCGGCTCGCGTTTCAAGTGAAAGAATGCAATTATCTCTGGAATAACGCAGATGCTGCGGTACGTTTTGTCCTCTTTATTATCAAAATAATGAAGTGCAAAGGGTGCAAAAAATCTATCGAATAGTCTGACTTACGTGATGGTTTTGGACGCCACCACTGACAATTCTCGATCCTGAAGTCGAAGAGACGTTTGATCTCATCCTCGAGGCTCATGTTGAGGGGATAGAGGGAATTCGCGAAGTCCGGCATCAGGTGCTCCCAGAGAGGAATATCTATCCTCTGGTGGTTGACTTTCATGTCGTCCTTGAAGATTGATTTACCGGCAGGATGAAATCGCATCATGATTCTTCCGCAGTTTGTCCTTGGACTCGAGATTAATCGTTCTTTCACAAACTTTCGTCGCGAATGTCAAAAATTTATTCTAAAGACTTGGCCTCGAGAAGGTGAGAGTGAGATTTAGAGATTTTTTTTTTGTTTACTTTTTTCGTCCAGGGGATGCTGGAGTTTACGATTTTCAGTGGAAACTGAAGGGCTGGGGGATGCCAGGCGAACTGAGAAGAAGTAATATCCAAGAAATCGCACTCCAGGAGTCCAGAGTGGGAGAAGGGGTTGAAGGAGTGGGGGTGAAATCTGATTGGTCATTGCGGGGCACCTCGAGGGCCTAATGAAGCGCGCATCTACTTCGAAATTCTTCAGCAATCCGTTATTGATAACTGGTGATTGATAAATCTCAAGCTCTTCTGAGTAATTGTGCATTACTCTTCATTACTTATATGTAATACACCTCGTTGTGAAGGATATGGAACTCCTGGAGACTGTAATCTATTGAGAACCTGATATATGCACTAATTGCAGAAATTGACACCGATAATTCCCGCAGAAGTGATTTTACAAAAAAACGTCAAAGGAATTTTTTATTGGAAATTTATTCAGCTACAAAAAAGATTTATGTGATTTTCGGATAGAACCGGCGGTTTTCGAGATAAATGGGAAACAACGCGATGTAAGTAGACTTTATTTATTGTTTAATTATTATTTTTAAGAATTGTGCAGATATCTTGAGAATTATTTGTTTGAGGCGAAAATGTCGAAGGACTTTTTTGTTGTTGATTGAATTTCCGATAGAAAAGATATTCTCGTATTTTTTCCAGAAGTCGATCGTTCTCGGTGTGTATCGAATTATTTCGAAGAAAGGAAAGACTCAATGAATTTCGAGTGTTTCGGTTTGTTTGACTAATCTTCATATTTATTATTGTGTAAATATATAGGCACTGAACAAATAATGTTTCATAATTTGTTTACATACATTTACACGTACTGATCATATTTGTTTTCTCTCAACTGTTCACGTTACTTTTTCGCAATGGTGTTCAGCTCGACTGACATTTACACAGTTTAAATGCAAGCCTCCAACTTCACTGAACGGTAATATTACTGTCATTTCCATGCATGCACTTCAAAATGTTATTCTTATCCCTTATATTATCTCAGAATCTCTAATTGCGGTCTCAGTATTCCATCAATATATATCCTTTATTTATATCATTAGTATGTATACATTTTCTTAAAATTTCTATAGTCCTACGAAAATCCTAGTCTAGTCAACTTACCACGATTAATTTTCACGAATTTATGTATATCCCGCTGAAAATTTAAAAAATATTCATAACAGTTCAGGATTATTTAATTGTAATTCATCGTGATGAATCTGTTGAGTGCATTTTACTGCCCAGAATTCCTCGGGAAGTATCTAAAATAATAACTACCATTACGTGAGAATGAAAAAAAAAAATAACTTTGGCTAATTTAATTTGTTCTTACGACGAATTTTTTATTGCAATTGTCAGCTCTTCTCATTATTTCCTGTCTATTTTCGGTTTGGACTAAAATATACAAAGGAATTATCAAAGGATTTTGTACATTCAACATTTAATGTTATCTTCATTATTTTTTTAGTGATCTCTCTATCAAATTACCGAGATACTAATTTTAATCAGTGGTAGGAGCCGTGTGACGAAAAATAACTCACAATAGTATTTTTAATCTTAATTTCGGTAGTTCGAGAAGTGACAATAAAGCTTAAGATTTTGAAATTAGATTATTTGATAGTCGAGTGGAACTGAGAGAGGAAAATTCTTTCAATTATTTTAATGGAGGCAAAATAATAGAGAAATTGGTGAGGAATATTTTAATTCAGTTTATTTTCTCTATGACATATGAAAAATTCACTTTTGATTAATTCTCGTTCCACTCAACTACAAACCTTCAATTTCAAACTTTACACATAAATGGATTTGTCTTTTAACTTTTTGCATATGATTACACAAATTTTTTAGATGAAAACCGGCAAATTATGTTGCACAAATGATTAATGATTGAATGCAATGAGAAAAGTTTGCATGAATTTTCATTGGCCGGGCAGTCCATTCTCAGCATTCATAATTAATATAAATATAAATATATATTTATATGCATTACATATGGAATTTCTCATTTTTCCATTTCACTCGCTTGAAAATGGAGAGTTAATTATGCGAATGCGTATGAAAACGTGAGAATCACACGAATGTCCTCTCTACATTCATGAGTTTTCTTTAGTATAAAACGATGATACATAATCTTAAATAATTTATTCATTTTTAATCCTCGGATTAATCGTTTGCGTTTTTTTCTTTATATCAACTGACACACAATTATGATATCAATTTTTTTAGTCTCATGAGTAGACGATAGAATCAATAGAGTGCTATCGTTTTTTTTTTTTAAACAAAGCCAGATCGGCTTTGAATAGTCTTGTTTTCCATCCAGTCAGACGAAGCCTGCGGTCAAGTGTGCACATGACATTTCACCTGCTACTTCATTTAATTTCACTTGAAATTAAATAGCCACGATCTTAGTCACTCCGCTTGTAGTTCCCTCCGAAGGAAATTTGCCGTCAAAATAACCACTTTCCAATACATATACCACGAACAAAGTGCACCAATGAATAATCCGCAATCACGATATAAAGTAGGTTCAAATGAATGGCCAACAAGTAGTTTGTTTTTTTCTCAATGATTATTATTATTCTTTCTTTAATAATAAAACGGCTATACTGGGATTAAAGTCCTTTTCTTCATCATGTTCACTTGATTCATATTTTCACCATTATTCTAATTAGTACCCACTGTTATCTACGTCAATTTCACATGTTTTTCACTGTCCTCTCAATTTAATGAAAATTAAAGTTACAAATTTGTACAAAATGAAATTATTCGAGAAATTGTTCCACGATCTTTCCTTTTCTCCTTTCAACTCAAATTCATATATATATATATACATACATATATATGAATATATATATATTTATATATGAATGTGTTTTTCATATATTTGTATATATATTTATCTATCATATATGTATATGCGTGTAGGGTGTCTTAAATACAACTGATACAAATTAAATAATGTAAGATTGAAAATAATGATTATAATGTAAGACGAGTGCGCGACCGGTAATTGCTGTCTCAAAAATATGGCCACTCATTTTGGACCGTTTAATTAACGTTAAATATTTTTTTTTGTTTTAATACTTCTAGTCGTATACCCTTGCTAGAGTAGTGGTCTTTGCGTCCTAGTATGACATTCAAAATTTCATTTGATTTTCCAAATTTCCGAGAGGCTCTTCCTCCATTGTCCACGGGTCAACCTCGATATTTTTTTTTATTTTTGCTCTTTTGATATTTCATTATTTTCTCCATCACACTAGGACGCTTTTACAGGCAATACAGAGTGCTTTTAGCATGTATTTTTTTTTTTTCATTCGCTCTCTTGATATGCGATACAATACTAAATCTAAAAAAAATTCTTACGCTTCTCATTTGGTATGTCTTAGTCTTATTTTTATTATTATAAAATAAACGATTATCTATCAATTATTTCGTTTAACTCGACCCACTGTTCGGTGAGGCGCAATGTATTTTGTTCGGAAGTTTTCAATTTTGTGATCAATTAAAAGAAAGAGATAGAGTCTTAAGAGTAGGGGGAGAGGGGGTCTAGATATTGTTTTCTGCGTTAAAGTGTTGACTATCTGTAAGACTACAAGAAAATTGTGGTGTTGGCCAGTGGCAGGGGATGGCCAGGATAATTTCTCATATCCTGTTATCACGAATTTAACGATGGGGGAATCAGAAATTATTCTGGCTCTGCAACTGCTCCAGTCAGATTGGCCTTAAAACCACTAGTTCCTGAGAGATATCAGTTTGAAGAGGAATTCAAGTCTGAGAAAAAATATAAATGCAACGCACGTCTCCTTATTTTACTCAATCACAAAATTATTATTTTTTTCAATTGAAAAGTCGTGAGAGGGTGTACATCCGTCAATTTTGATAAATTATCATTTTTTCTTTTGCAATCATGAAGCAGTTGTGGATAAAATATAAATGGGAAGTCATAACAGATGATAACTTACTGTAGAATTCAAGTGTGAGAATTGTAGGACATTTGTGGGGAGCGAGTGAAGAAACATTATTTTTTTCCACGTTGTCCACCTTTTTTCGTTTTTATTAATCAATTTTGTTATCACTTTCCAGTCTTTGACACAATAATTTTCTATTAATGATCGAAAATCGATTTGAAACAAATTTTCAAATTAATCCACACGAATCAATTAGGGAATTTCACTCTTGAAATACACGAAATTCCAGAAGAATAAATAGATAGTATATACATATCACAAGAAATGCAAAAATACTCATCCAATGTTTTATGAACAGGAAAAAAGTACCGTTCAAACGCCTCCACAAGTGTCCAAGCATGATAAAATCGAAGGGAACTAAGTCTTATTTATTTTTTGTTGTTTATCATCGAAAAATATTCAATGAAAAATACCTATTATTTATAATTCTTAAATTCTTACTTAATTTTACAATCAGCAAACAGGAATACTCGGTTTATCCAGTCATTATTAATTTTCATTTAGGGGAATTTTCAATATTTTATTTCCTTTCACATTCAATTATACGCTCTTGCCTCACAATTTTGTGTCTAGCTCGAGAAAAAAAATAATAATAAATGATTTTTCCTAATAGAAAAAAACATAATCATAAGGTGTGAACAAGCATAAGAAGCAAATTCATTGACCTGAATATGTCGTCGATATTCAACGATAAAGCATGAATTGAGTAGATATTATCCCTATGATAACTAGTATGAATAGTTTGGAGACTTGGGGAAATGAATATTTTGAAACAGTGATTTCGATCAAGAGTAAAAGACATTCCTACAGACAAATAAATCCTGAAGACTTAAACACAAATCTTCACTTTATTTATTTCCAGAAATATCCTTCACAGAACTATTTCAAATGTCACTTAAACAAGTTTGCAGAATACTCACGAAACTGATCCCAATGCGAATAATTCCACATATTCAGGCATCAAAATTATGATTTCATAATTCATGTAAAAAAAAAAGCGACTTAATTCTGACAAATGATATAAGTTCTTCCTCTAGAAATCTCTATTGCACCGATATTTACAAATGGACGTTTGTGATTCATTTCTGTCTCAAACAATCGTAAATAATATTTAATATTCAATACAACTAATAAAACGTCTTTGATATACAATCAAGTAATGTTTTCTGATCCATCAAATTATATTTAATATTTCTTAAATAAAAAAAGTTTCACTTAAAATTGCTATAAAAAGCTCGCATTAAATGTAACACCTATTAACGTTTCTAAAACATCTACGAGTGCATATTTTATTTCTATACCAATGTTTGTTTTTATATAAAAAGAGAAAAAAATATAATTCTTCATTTATCGTTCTCTAAACGCTCACATAGGCAATAGTATGATAAATATTTATGTACTCGCTATGCGTGTATCCCCATTCGCACCTCCATTCTTCCATTTTTCCATTTATTTATTTATTATTTATATTCATTTGTCTCTATATCGTACGTCAGTCCATCTCCAGTTTCATTTTTTTTTAGATGAAAAATCACTTACCCAATTTCCGTCACGAGTTAGTATTTTTAAAAACTCACCAACTTTTCTGTTTCATTGAATTTCCCTCGTGGAATTAATCGCGTATGGGTATGCATTCTCGTGTCATTGCAGGCTTTTTTTTTTACATCTCCATTATACGAAAGAGATAAAACTTCTGCTGATTTCGGGGTCATGGATATTTTCCGATGATTGACATGCAGTTTGGCGAGATAAATGTTGGAAAATTCACTTTACAGGGCATTTAAATTTCAATAATTTTGACACTCGCCTGTAAACACTGCTAGACCATTGAAATAATAATTTCCCTCAGCATGAACAAATCATCCCGAAAATCATGAGCTAGCTCTCTCTATTGCAAACGATTGAACAAAAATCATACAGAAGGAATATCCCAACAACTGCCCCATCATCTCTGCCCTAGAGCTGAGGATATTGTCACACATTATTTTATTCACATTAAAGAGTTATTGGGAGACAATCCGAAAAGTATATCTGAGGTGTCACGTGAATATTTCGTATTTACTAGCAATAATCTCAGCAGATTTCCCCACATTTTCCAGTTTCAACAGAAAATTAATCGAAGAAGGAGGAGGAAATTCCCCTCTTCCTCCTCCCACATCTGTTCAAAAAGTCTAAAATAACCGAAAGTTCATCTTCGATTTTGTCAAAATAGAGAAATAATGGTAATAATAATAATAATCAAACAAATGCTCGTTTACTTCAACTGAAAATTGGTGAGAAATCTACTGAACAGGTTGGAATAAAATCGTCTAGGGCAGAGATCCCTCCTGTATCCATGATTTTGTACAAATCTCGGAAAATTCGGTGTCAAATAAGGCCTGAACAGTTATGGTTTGTTATGATCATTGTTTAACGACAAGGGATCCGTTATTTTCTGTTGCAATTCACTGACAGCCCCACCACTCATCAATTTAGCATTATTATTCTCGGTATTAGATACCTTTGAGTATTCCCTCTTGCGTTGAATACTCTCTGTCTTAACGATCGTAATGTCCGGATTATTTTCGAGTACTGAACTCGCTGCTTTTGGTATTGTTGTCGGTAGATCGATGTATCCACCACCCTCTCTCTTTATCGATGCCGATGTTGTTGGTATCGTAGCTGTTGCACCAGCTGCATTCAACTTTTGCAATATTTCATTAACTGACTCATTATTGGGATCAACGTCGTTGCCATCAAGAGGGCTTGCAGCGCTCAATTCACCGGCCAATGAAATTCTGTCGGGGCCTTGTAACGTTGATAGATACGTCGCAAGTGTGTGGACGGTGACATTGAGAAATTCGGCTGCCCTGAAGAGGGTTATTTCTTTCCTTCGAAGTTTGGATAGAACTTCGGCTGGTCCTGGCTCTGACCAAAAGTCTCGGACTCTAAAAACATATAGTGCAGACTGAACATTATTATTACGTTTATATGTTTTCTTGGAGAAATATTGATTGAGTGGAATTTCACTCGAAATATCGCCAATTAATATTTTCCACGGGTTTGTTAATTGGCCGGGGCATTTTGACATTAACTTGTCCCGCCCAGTATTCGGCTAACTCCACATATAATTAACATTAACGGAAATGTTGCATAAACGTTATCTCAATTTTTTTTTCTACACCGCACGTGTACCTTAAATAAGACCACTTGAAAAAATATTTATTATTATTATTATTATTTATACAGTGAATAAGGGTGCAATCGAGAAGTTCTGAAGAAAATATTCGATATTCTTTACATCGGCCTTTTTCAAATTTATCTAATTGGTTAATGAAGATAAAGGTGTAATTATGTAGGAGAGGTTAAATATAATGAGATATAACAAGGTAGTGGAAATAATTGATACCGAGCCCTGGTCTGGGCTATAGACAGTATTCAGTTATCATTCCACTCAACCACAGATTCGTGAGGCTTGAGGAATAGTCAATCCACATTTAAATACCTGTACGGGTGTTTAAGGCAACCATAACTGTCTCTGTATCTTCCGTAGAGTGTTCCATAGGATACGCCAAGTATCTCAGCGGCAGTCTTCATCTCCAGTTCTTTACTCTTGATAGCATCCATAACGCGTCTCGTAAATGGCTCTTCCCAGAATTCTTGTCGTCTTCCTGTTGTCAGGTAGTCGTTCATTTTTACAACATCACGGAATTGTTCGGGAATAGCTGGGTTCGTTGCATTTGAGTTTGACGGAGTGCTAGGAGCTGTAGAAGCTGCAAAGTAAAGTCAATCCATCAACATTGAAAACCGTCTCCAGTTTTTGGGAATATCTCGAAATCAAGGGGAGATAGACAAATTTTCATGAGGACATCTTTTGTAGAGTGGAATTAGAGCTAGGGAAAGTATTCTCACGAAAATTTCTCTATCTCTCGTAGATGTGGAGCAATTGTTGTTATTCAATGGTTTCGATTGGTTTGCTCATAATTTTTGGATTGAACTTACGTTTTTTTTCTTGGTCTGAGTTGCCGTCTTCCTTGGACAAGTAGGACAGCTGCAAAATTTAATAATGAATTAGTGAAGAGCTGGAGTTTAAATACGAGTCATTTAACATTCGGGGACTCACCACTGGCAGCGGAGGCTCATTGTTCTCATTCATCATCATCTCGTCGTCCCAGCTCTCGTGATCTCCCTCACTCATCATTTCCTCCTGCATTAAAAATACATTTAATAGAAATTATTATTTTAACCGACTTATGAAAAATTCTATACGGGTGCAGGAGAGAGGGATATTCCAGTGCGATTCAAGCAACCCATACAGATAAAGTCTCTTTGACGAACGAAACAATGAAAGGAAACCGAAAAGCCAGTGGACCGAAAAAGGCATACCAATATCATTTCAAATTGGAAATTTTCCCAGCTCTCCAATATTGATCCCAAAAATACCGATTAACCCACTTTTCTTGGAGATTGTAAAGCATTTATGATGAAAATTCAAAAATTTATATCACTGTTCATACATTCGGCTGACAGCCCATTCCAATTAACAATTTTGTCAGTTGGAATTGGATTCAAGGTCCAATTATTCATGAATATTTGATTTACCACTCTGAATGTTCAAGGAACTTGTTTTTCGCGTTTTCTCCGAACTCTGATTTCATGCAAAGCCAATGCAATTTGGCATTTAGATTTACAAAAATTTTCAGTATGAAAAATGATGGAAAGTATTTTCTTCAACAGGACAATTTTTTGTTAATGTTGCGCGGTAAATGCGCTTTCTTCCCGTTGAACAGTAGAATGAATCCGCGAATCCCTGAGCATCCCCTAGGACTGAATAGGATAGTCGCGAGGGTTAAATGGGGCTTACAGGAAATGTTCCTACGTTTCCAGTGATGCATGTTACTTTCGGTGTGAATACGTCGTGAGCCGATGGTGGATCGTCGAGGGGCGGTCTACCCCGACGCTTTTGCTTTGGAGGTGGTGGCTCGTCTGCATCACCTTCCCTCAGTACAGTCTCAACACCAGGTGTTCCCGCTCCAGGGCTGTGTCCACTGTTATTCAGTTCATTTTGCGTTGAGTCACTTCGCCAGGTCACCTCCGCTAATCCTTTTATGTGTAAATCCTCTGCGGTTTTCAGCAGAGATGCCAGTCTTGTCTGAAATTATAAGTAAAAAAAAAACAATTCAAACACATCAGTCCAAATTGATGCATTTCACCTTGAATTATTGTGGAAGTGTGTCATTGTATAATTGTGTCACCCTGAATTTTCAATCTCAAAATTGAAATAACCCCCACCAAACTTTCACCGTTTAATGACATTTTCAATTGTAGATTGCCTCAATTATATTCCATTAAATATCCAATTGTTTGTTGAACGACTGTTGGAGTTGAGAGGAATAAATGTGCAATGAAAAAACATTTCTGATTAAGAGAGTGAAGTGGAGGCGATGGGATGAACAATGGATCTAATTATTGTCCGTTAATATATCGAATTGGCAATATTCCGTTAGAATAGTGGATATTAGGAGAGTGGGGGACTTTCTATGCAGCTTTCTACCGTAGTGCATTGAAAATAACAGGGGAAAAAGATGAATAAATAGAGGAAGTGGAAAAAAAAAATGCAATGTGGGTCAGGGCCTTGCAACGACTACACTGTTGAATAAATATATATTTGAAGAGAATTCCGCTTTCGTTTAATGGAAAACCAGTGGTGAAGATAATTTTTATTTTTCAATAATCAATAATTGTTATGCCTATTTGTACAATTGCAGAGAGAACGGACTCGGGCAAATATAAACCTTTGAATATTTTATTAGAATTTAATATTTATGGGCAATCCAATGAAGTATTGTATTTTATTTATATTGTGGAAACAGTGGTACCGGTAATTAGTCCGGCACTTGTGACTATCTCTCCTGTCATACAAATTGTTGATAAAACAGAGTATGTGACAATATGTTGAAATAACTCACGTGATCGATATTGATCTCCCCCTTGTACATGAATTCAACGAGTACTTTGATGTCTGAGAATTTCACGTCACGCATTATTACTATTGGATCCTTCTCCTCGTACTGCGACAATATTGTATCGAAGTATGTGCTACACGCACTCAGGACAACCTGAAAAGAAAATTCAGAGTATTAAATGCTTTTTCCAGGAGTGAAACTGATTCCGCGTCAAGTGAGACAAATAAAAAAAAAATCCCCAGCCTCCAGAAGAAAATATCGAAAGACATTTTATCCAGGAATTTAATCATCAAAATTACTCCAATTTATATTTCTTCCACTCAAATGAATAAAATGTAATTAAATTTATCCCACTTAATCACTCATCGAAGCCCCGAAAATCCATCAACAATAATAATTACTCTTTCAATAAAATGTTTATAAATAGTTCACATTGATATACTTCCAATTATAAACACATGCCAATTGAATTTTAAATGTTCAGAAATATTTTCAGATAAAAAACAAACGGTAAAATCCCCGTTAAGAGAATCAGTCGAAATTCGCCCCAGCGAGATGATGAATAGAAATTTAATAAAATCTCACAAAGAGAGGAGTAAAAAAAAATATTGAGGGGGCGTAAAAAGGGGGGTAGCGGGTGGGCGTCAGCGGCGATTGGCGAAGAAGGGTGATTTCAAAAAGGGTGAAATTAAAAAAAAAAAAATGTGTCTATCTGAGAGCCCCGCCCAAAGTACGACAGCCAGTCAATAGCCTGAATATTTAATGGGCAAGTGAAGTCCGTATTGATTTTCCTTGAATTTTACGCCGTCCGCAAATAAGGCCGTAAAGGAAAGCGCTTGGGCAAAAGCCGCCTGCTGGCCGTCAACTTTGCAATGCCTTCAGCACCCCTTTCCTCCCCCACCCAGACTATATATATCGCTTTATTATATCCACGGACTCTTTTATGGTGAAATACAGCAATAAAAAAAAAAAAAATGAGTGGAATGAGAGGATAAAGGGGGTGGGGAGGGAAAAATTGAAATTATACTCCCGCTTCATATCGAAACATTCCGAGTCTGCCTTGGGCAAGGCGTACAATTTTTCCATCTACTTCTCTCTAACCCCCTTCCCCCTCTCACCACCTCCCCACCC